TCCACTGCTGAACGGCTCTCACAGTCAGGAAGTTCTTCCTCATGTTCATATGGAATCTCCTCTGCTGTAGAGCTTTGTTTATAAACTTCCCCTCTGATCGAATAGGCAGCATTCTTCTGGTATTTCCTTATGGGTGCCTTAAATACCTCTCAGTTTCAGTAGTACCTATTTTTCTACTCACATTGTTGTTTTCGAAACTGCTAGATAGGCAGAAGCTGAGCTAACGGCCAGGAGCTCCCTCTGACCCAGGCCTCGATTTTCTAAACGATTTTCTGTTTCATGATAATTTTAATATTGCAAACATTCTGTTGTATATATTCAAGTGTCTATCATGCACGTAAAAAACAGCATTGCAGCAAATATGCATCTCTTTTAAGTTTTTTTTATACTTTGCTTCTTCACATGGCTTTATCCTGTACAAAGAACAAAAAAAAACCACAACAAAACTATTGCTTGAATGGGATTGGAAACTGAAAAGGGGTTTTAAAAATCTGCATTTTGTTATTAAATAGGATGCTACAGTTAATTGTCATATGTTTCATAAACTGAGCTAAAACGTTAGAACTTCACATTTCATGCCATCACTTCTGTAAATAATTGTATATGTTGCATAAAAATATTCATGAACTATTTACACAATTCTAGTGAAACACAATTATTTCCTGACACAACTATTTGCTGCTGTTCACTTGAAAACAATCACTTTCACAGGAAGCCAAGATAAGTGTCTGTATCCTGCTTTTTAAAAGAATGCGCAAGCCTCTGAGCTTCATTGTCTTCCCAAAGGAAATGCCAAGGTATTAAACTGGTTGAGGTAATTTTTATGGCAAATGCTTTGTGGGAAATTATTTTATTGTCTCAGAACAGCAAAAGATCTATGGCCCCATCTACACTGCCTTTTAATTTAGTTTCAGAATGCAGTTTAACTGCATTGAAGCGGATTATAAGAGTCCACACTGCCATATAATGCAGTTAAATTGCATTCTGAAACTGGATTATATGACAATGTAGATGGAGCCTATGTACAGAACTGAAAAACAAAGTAAAATAAAGGTTTCCCCTGACATTAAGTCTAGTTGTGCCCGACTCCGGAGGGTGGTGCTCATGTCCATTTCTGAGCTGAAGAGCCAGCATTGTCCATAGACTCCTCCGAGGTCATGTGGCCAGCATGACCGCACAGAGTGCTGTTACCTTCCTGCAGAAACTGTACCTGTTGATCTACTCACATTTGCATGTTTTTGAACTGCTAGCTTGGCAGAAGCTGGGGCTAACAATGGGAGCTCACTCCACTCCCTGGATTTGAACGGCCAACCTTTCAGTCAGCAAGTTCAGCAGCTCAGCGATTTAATCCGCTGTGCTACTGGGAGGTCCCTGAAAAACAAATTCCTTAGCAAATCCAAGTGTAGTATAACTATCACAACAGGATCATGAATATGTTTACTAAAAAACCTTCAGAAGTCATAGAAGAAAGCGTGACTGCAAGTTTACAGTTGAATATTAGGAAAAGATGATTTGCATAACTGCAAAGCAGGCAAGGAAGATGTTGAAATACTTATTTTGAAATGGTTATTAGTCAGAATGGAGACTGCAGCCAAGATACCAGAAAACTAGGACTTGGAAGGGCAAAAAACTAGACAAGATCGTGAAATCAAAAGATATATATAACAAAATAGTAAAATTAGGATTATCCTTGCTGTCATATTTTTACGCTGTATAGTTATGTATAATATATATATAGTTGTGATAGCTTTTTTTTTTGGCATGTCAGGAGTGACTTGAGAAATTGCAAGTCGCTTCTGGTGTGAGAGAATTGGCCGTCTGCAAGGACGTTGTCCAGGGGACGCCTGGATGATTGGATGATTCCAAGCTGGAATGTGTCCAGAGGAGAGCGACTAAAATGATAAAAGGTCTGGAGAACAAGCCCTATGAGGAGCGGCTTAAGGAGCTGGGCATGTTTAGCCTGAAGAAGAGAAGGCTGAGGAGATATGATAGCCATGTATAAATATGTGAGAGGAAGCCACAGGGAGGAGGGAGCAAGCTTGTTTTCTGCTTCCTTGGAGACTAGGACGCGGAACAATGGCTTCAAACTAAAAGAGAGGAGATTCCATCTGAACATGAGGAAGAACTTCCTGACTGTGAGAGCCGTTCAGCAGTGGAACTCTCTGCCCTGGAGTGTGGTGGAGGCTCCTTCTTTGGAAGCTTTTAAACAGAGGCTGGATGGCCATCTGTCAGGGGTGATTTGAATGCAATATTCCTGCTTCTTGGCAGGGGGTTGGACTGGATGGCCCATGAGGTCTCTTCCAACTCTTTGATTCTATGATTCTATGATTCTATGTTTTTATCATCCTTGTGTGATCAGTTGTGATAGCTGAACAGTGAAGAAAGCTGGCAAGAAACAAATAAAATAATTTTAAAACGTGGCTCTCGAAAAAAAAAGTTCTGCTATTGTAGACTGCTAGAAAAACAAATAAATGGGTCACAGAACAAATTAATTCTGATCTATTTTGGCCATTTCATGAGAAAACATGACTCACTAGAAAAGACAATGGTTGGCATGAAGGCAGTAGGATTCTTACAATGTTTTTAAGGACAATCTCAGTGGCTTGAGGCCCAGGGACTTATAATGATAATGATAAATGTTTTTTTATTATGTTTGTTTTATATGGTTTATGTAATGCATTTATGCAATGTGTTTTATTTACTGTTTACTTGGTTGGGTGGGGGAGTGATGTCGTGTCTTTATATTATGTAATTTCTATTTTTTAACCATTTGTTCACTGCTTTGAGTCCCACCCGTGTGACAAAAGTGGGATAAAAATAAATAAATAAATAATAGAGAGAGAGGAGAGAGAGAGAGATCTCCCGCTTTTTCCCATGGGTGGGAGTCAAAGCAGCAAATAAATGGTTAAAAAACAGCTTATAGAGCAGGCCTGGGAAAACTTTGGCCCTTCAGGTGGACTTACCAGCTGTTAGGAATTGTGAGAGTTGGAGTCCAAAACACCTGGAGAACTGAAGTTTGCCCATGCCGTTTATAGAGACATCCGGTGATTATTCCACATGCTTCGCATGGACAGTCTTCTGCCAAACAGGGGAGGCATACTCAGCAGTTGAGTACTTCATCACACTAGAGCAGCATTTCTCAATCTGGGGGTTGGGACCCCTGGGTGGGTCTCAAGGGGGTATCACAGGGATCGCCAAAAACCATCAGTATTTTCTGTTGGTCATGGAGGTTCTATGTGGGAAGTTTGGCCAAATTCAATCATTGGCGGGGTTCAGAATGCTCTTTGAATGCAGGTGAATTATAAATCCAAGCAACTACAACTCCCAAATGTCAAGATACATTTCCCCCAAACTCTACCAGTGTTCACGTTGGGGTATATTGAGTATTCATGCCAAGTTTGGTCTAGATCCATCATTGTTTGAGTCCACACTGCTCTCTGGATATAGATGAACTACAACTCCAAAACTCAAGGTCAATATCTGCCAAACCCTTCCAGTATTTTCTGTTGGTACTGGGAGTTTTGTGTGCGAAGTTTGGTTCAATTCCATCATTGGTGGAGTTCAGAATGCACTTTGACTGTAGATGAACTATAAATCCTAGCAACTACAACTCCCAAATGACAAAATCAATCCCCTCCCCAACCCCACCAGTATTCAAATGTGTGCGTATGGGGTATTTGTGCCAAATTTGGTCCAGGGAATGAAATACATCCTGCATATCAGATATTTACATTACAATTCATAACAGTAGCAAAATTACAGTTATGGAGTAGCAACAAAAATAATTTTATAGTTAGGGGTCACCACAACATGAGGAACTATATTAAGGGGTAGTGGCATTAGGAAGGTTGAGAAACACTGCACTAGAGAAAAAAGCCACTTAAAAATATGGTTTCTGCCTCCTACAGAATTCTGGGGTTTGTTCTTATTAATTTTGGGTTTGCGTCCCATGCAAACCATGGGATGCAAACCAAAATGTAAGTTTCCACAGGCTGTTATTGCTTGCAGCTACTTTGTGATTGGTGTTCATACTGTGTTTCCTAAATGTTAGTGTTTGACTCCACCTGGTTAATGGAACAGTACCAACAAAATCTGAAACAACACGGACTAAGGATGATTGAAGACTTCCCAAATTCAGATGGAACATGTTCCAGAAGCATTCTCTCCTGACATTTCATTTGCATCTATGGCAGGCATCCTCAGGAGTTGTGAGGTCTGTTGGAAACTAGGAAAATGGGGTTTATATATAGGGTTAACTGTATATATCTCTGGAATGTCCAGGGTGGGAGAAAGAACTCTTGTCTGTTGGAGGTAGGTGTGAATGTTTCAATTGTCCACCTATCTCCAACAGACAAGCGTTCTTTTTCCCACCCTGGACATTCCACAGATATATAAACCCCATTTTCCCAGTTTCCAACAGACCTCACAACCTCTGAGGATGCCTGCCATAGATGCAGGTAAAAAGTCAGGAGAGAATGTTTCTGGAACATAGCCACACAGCCCGAAAAAAAACTTACAGCAATCTAGTGATTCCGGCCATGAAAGCCTTCGACAATACTCAGATGGAACGGTTATGATAGTTTTGTATTCAGAAGGGGAAATTCCTATGAAACCAAAAGTCTTTATGATCTTAGGCTTTGTAGGGTCATAAAGCCATGTGCTCAAGACTAAAAGGGAGGGAGACTTTGGGCGCTTGCCTTGGCTCGCCTCCCTCTGCTTTCTTCTTCTCCCGCATCCTCCCTCTCTGCTGCTGACGCCTTTCTTCCTTTCAGGGCCAAAAAAGCTCTGTCCTGACTCAATTCTTTTTGGCCAGAATAATCCCGTCCCACTTCCTGCCCGTGGCTTCAAACATTTCACAATTTCCCTCTCTGCCCTTTCTTTTTTTGGTCAAGTTCCTTGGAAAAGGTTCACTGTGTTTTGAAACTGATCTCACATTTGTGTTGAGAGCCTTTCGTTGTCCCCTCCAGCCATTCTTCTGGATATCAAACTTTACCAAAAAAGTTATTTCTACAACGTCCAGCTTTTTTCTCCAACACAATTTGCATTATGTCAAGTTGGGACCTTTCCTGAGGGCTTTGGACACTGCCGAAAGGAGAATATGAGGACTAACTGATTTCACCCTTTCACTTTTTCTGCTCATAATGGACTCCAGATTCCTGTGTTTTCTTCAGAAGATGCTGTCAATGTTTATCAACTCTTCCATAAATGGTACCATCTGGGTCTCTGTTCCTGGGAATTAAGGACATCAAAACCATTCAACAGGTGAGGTGCAAATTGGTACTGTTTTATCCAGCAATGTATTGAAAGCCAGTTGTCAATATTTCAACTTGTTGATCTCTATCAAGTTTTCCTGCTAAGCTTAGCTACAGATCTCCCATTTGCTGCCCATTCCCCGATAAGGATATTTGTCATAAGCTCATCTTGTGTTGTCAAAGGCTTTCAAGGCCAGAATCACTGGGTTGCTGTGAGTTTTCCAGGCTGTATGACCACGTCCCAGAAGCATTCTGTTCTGATGTTTTGTCCACATCCTCAGAGATTGTGACCTCTGAGGATTCCTGCCATAGATGTGGGCAAAATGTCAGGAGAAAATGCTTTTGGAACATGGCCATACAGCTTGTAAAACTCACAGCAACCCTCTTCTTATAACTGTAATTCAAAGTTGTGTGGGGTAGTTTGGTCTTGATCGAGCCAACAAGAACCATTAGCTTTGTAAAAGACCTGCTCCTGTTGGAGAATGAAACAGTTCAAAACAACTGCTTGCTTGTATAACAGGATCTGTTTGGAAGTTTGGCTAGATAGACTCGTGATGATTTGTGTGCCTTTCATCACAATTCTCTCCCATGAAAATTAGTTCAGATGATTGAATCAGCTGCTTCCCTCCTGATTATAGCAGTGTTAAATCAAGGCAGCAACAAACAGTCTCATTATAACAAGAGTAGAAATAGCAATTTAGATTTTTTTTTCCCAGTTGTCAAAAGGGATCTCTATTCCCATGTTCCGTGGTCTGTGAGTATTGGCTTAAATGGTTATATGCTGATTTGGCTATTGATTTCTATGTTGGATCTGAGAAGAATTGTGTCTAAAGCAGACATGGGCAAACTTTGGCCCTCCAGGTGTTTTGGACTTCAACTCCCACAATTCCTAACAGCCGTATGCCTAGCCCTAAACTGATATTGGATTGTATTCGTGTTTTTGTTTAAAGCGAGTGAGCTTCGAATCACAGGTTCAAATAATAATTGGTACAATTAGTTGTGAACTAAATGCAGGAAGCAGTTAAAATATTCTGCAGAATAAGTGCAATCTTGCACTTTGAGATTTTAAACTTACAGCAGGAAGCTTTTATGTTACTCGGTTTGATTTTGGAAAGTTTGCTTTAGAAAATAGAAGCATGCACCTCCCCTGTTGCTTCTGGCAATTAAGATACCTTGAGGCACCTGAAGGTGCATCTGTTGTTGTTTTGTACTAGATGCTGGTTGTGTGGGAACGGAGAAGGGGATGCATTGACAAAAACAGGACCAAATGAGTCTCAAATTGACCACTTAGTATTATAATACGGTACATACTCCTTTCTTGAGGTCTCCTGGCACTAAAGAAATGGTCAGTAATGACAAACGAGCCTCTCTGCAAGATGGTTTGGCTACCATTGTTGATATTTCTCTGTAATATCCATAAGGTTTCCATAATCCACCTTGTTGAATCTAGGCATTTAATTTGAATATTATGCAAGATATTCTCATATGCAATTATGCCTGTGTTATACCATGATCAAAATGAGTCCATATTTTGCTTTATTTATTTGTATATCACTTGTTTACCTTTTGGTTTAATTTTAAAAATCCAATAATAATAATAATAATAATAATAATAATAATAATAATAATGTTGTTGTTGTTCATTCGTTCAGTCGTCTCCGACTCTTCGTGGCCTCATGGACCAGCCCACGCCAGAGCTCCCTGTTGGCCGTTACCACCCCCAGCTCCCTCAAGGTCAGTCCAGTCACTTCAAGGATGCCATCCATCCATCTTGCCCTTGGTCGGCCCCTCTTCCTTTTGCCTTCCACTTTCCCCAGCATAATTGTCTTCTCTAGGCTTTCCTTTCTCCTCATGATGTGGCCAAAGTACTTCAACTTTGTCTCTAGTATCTTCCCTCCAGTGAGCAGTCGGGCTTTATTTCCTGGAGGATGGACTGGTTGGATCTTCTCGCAGTCCAAGGCACTCTCAGAACTTTCCTCCAACACCACAGCTTAAAAGCATCGATCTTCCTTCGCTCAGCCTTCCCTAAGGTCCAGCTCTCACATCCGTAGGTTACTACAGGGAATACCATGGCTTTGACTAGGCGGATCTTTGTTGCCAGTCTGATGTCTCTACTCTTCACTATTTTATCGAGACTGGACATTGCTCTCCTCCCAAGAAGTAAGCGTCTTCTGATTTCCTGGCTACAGTCTGCATCTTCAGTAATCTTTGCACCTAGAAATACAAAGTCTGTCACGGCCTCCACGGTTTCTCCCTCTATTTTCCAGTTATAATAATAATAATAACTTTATTTATACCCTGCCACCATCTCCCCAAGGGGACTTGGGGAGGATTACATGAGGCCAAGCCCAGCAATACAATAAAACAATATACAACAAGAACACAGCAAAAAATAAAAGAAAATAAAAATATAAGAACCAATATAATGTACACATCAAACAATATAAAATCAGAACATTTGAGCACAGAAAATTGATCACAGTGGGCAAGGTCAGTTGCAGAAGATTCTTTTTTAAAAACACTGGGTGAGAGAGCAGCAGCAGCAGCAACAACAACAACAACAGTTGAGTCTCCCTTGTCCAGAAATCAGAAATACTCCCAATACCCCAAACCTTTTGCCACCAGCTGGCTGAGGTTTGTTGTTTAGAACAGTAAATATGGGGAAATCACCATAACCCATAACAACAACAACAACAACAACAACAACAACAACAACAATAGTTGAGTCTCCCTTGTCCAGAAATCAGAAATACTCCCAATATCCCAAACCTTTTGCCACCAGCTGGCTGAGGTTTGTTGTTTAGAACAGTAAATATGGGGAAATCACCATAACCCATAATGGAACCCTCAGTGGCACAATAGGTTAAACCTTTGTGCTGTCAGGAGGACTGAAGACTGACAGGTCAGAGGTTCGAATCCAGGAAGAGCGCAGATAAGCTCCCTCGGTCAGCTCCAACTCCACATGCGGGGACATGAGAGAAGCCTCCCACAAGGATGGTAAAACATCAAAACATCCGGGCGTTCCCTGGGCAACATCCTTGCAGACAGCCAATTCTTTTGCACCAGGAGCGACTTGCAGTTTCTCAAGTTGCTCCTGACACACACATACATACGCACACAAAGAAAACATAACCCATCATTGTCTGGGACACTGGGCTATCAGAAACGGAAAATGAGTGATAGGAATAAGATTTGTTAGAGCTTTATTGTATTGTTCATGGAAGAAATAACTCAGGAGCAGATAAGTGTGTCTTATGCACACTTATATTACTCAGAAAATAATATAGCAAACTATATTTCAGAAGTATTGCATTTATGAATAGCAGAAATAAATCGTCCAAATAGCTCCAGTGACTGCAGAATTATTATTTCTATTTTGACATCTTTCTGAAATGTTCCACCCAAGTAAATAAGAGGTCTTCTTCAAAAATTCCACATTGCTTCAGGAACATTTTGAAAAGGTAAGGAAGCTATTTACCAGCAGAACGTATTTAGAGATGCCAGTAATCAAGATATTTTGCAGTAGTATCAAAATGATAATGTCTGGTAAAAATAATAGAATCATAGCATTGGAAGAGATCACATGGGCCATCTAGCCCAACCCCCTGCTATGCAGGAAAAGCACATTCAAAGCACCCCCAACAGATGGTCATCCATCCTCTGCTTAAAAGCCTTCAAGGAAGGAGCCTCCACCACATTCCAAGGCAGAGAGTTCCACTGCTGAACAGCTCTTATGGTCAGGAATGTCTTCCTAATGTTCAGGTCAAATCTTCTATTTGAAATGAGACACTGCACTGTTTATTTGATCTTTATTTGATTTATTTGATCTTTAGTTGTGGAAATTCAATTAAGGAAACTGTTAACATGCATAAAATAATTTAATCTTTATTTTGAATCATATGCTTACTGAGCAAATAGTACTGTATACTAAGCCATTTTTAATAATGTACTTAATTTTCTTACAGAACACCCGGTCTTTCCAAAATGATTTTAAATAAAACGTTATATGTTTTGCTCTGGCTCTCGATAGTAATTCGGATATCCTATTTAGCAGGTGAGTTTAATCTTTTTTTATCCCTTTTTTATCATTGTTGTACTCCTACATTAACTTGCTTGGAAGAAAATTTTGCTGGAAATCAGTGGCATTTACATTTAAGTAAGTACTGATAGAAACAAGTAGAAGTAAACATGCCACTTACCTCTCTTAGAGTGAGAATAAGCAAACATTTAAAGCTTTCTAATTTTTCTTGGTTAATAGGCTTTCAAAAATGAATAAGGTATAGTGGTTTGAATATTGGACTATGACTCTTGAGATGAGGATTTGAATCTCTGCTCAGCCATGAAAACCCACTGAGGCTGGGTCTACACTGTAATCAAATGCAGTTTCAGAATGCAGATTAACTACATTAAACTGGATTATATGGCAGCGTAGACTCATATAATCCAATTAATCTGCATTCTGATACTGTGATGTATAGCAGCGTAGACCCAGCCTTCACGACCTTGGATAAGTAAAATTCTCAGCTTGTGAGAGAAAAACTCTCAGCTTGCCAAGAAAACTCTGCGATTGGCTCACCTCAAATAGCATTCAGATTGTGGTTTGGGAGGTAGGGTTTCTTTTGGTATCGTGGCAATGATGATAGAGTTAAATGCCTCTTTTTAAAATAATGTTGATATTAGATGTGAAATTAGTAATTTGGGTTGGATGTCATTTGTATGCAGATGATATCCAGCTCTATCACACTTTTTCACTTCCTACTAAGGAGGCTGTTCAGGTCCTGAATCAGTGCTTGGCAGCTGTGATGGTCTGGATGAGGGCTAAGACATTGAAACTGAAACCAGACAAGACAGAGATCTTCCTGGTCAGTCGTAAGGCCGAACAGGGCATAGAGTTACAGCCTGTGCTGGATGGGGGTTACACTTCCCCTGAAGACACAGGTTCACAGCTTGGGGGTGATCCTAGATTCATCGCTGAGCTTGGAAACCCAGGTCTTGGCAGTGGCTAGGGGAGCTTTTGCACAATTAAAGTTTGTGCGCCAGCTGCACCCATACCTTGGGAAATCTGACTTGACCACGGTGGTCTATGCTCTTGTTACATCCCGAATTAATTACTGCAATGCACTCTATGTGGGGTTGCCTCTGAAGATGGCTCAGAAGCTTCAGTTAGTCCAACGGACAGCAGCCAGGTTGCTCACTGGAGTGGGGTACTGGAATCACACAACCCTCCCGTGTTACGCCAGCTCTACTGGCTGCGAGCCTGCTACTGAGCACAATTAAAAATGCTGGCTTTAGCCTATAAAACCCTAAACTAGTGGCTCTCAACCTTCCTAATGCCGTGACCCCTTAATACGGTTCCTCATGTTGTGGTGATCCCCCAACCATAATATTATTTTTATTGCTACTTCAAAACTATAGTTTTGCTACTGTTATGAATTATAACGTAAATATCTGATATGTAGGATATGTTTTCATTCACTGGACCAAATTTGGCACAAATACCCAATACACCTAAATTTGAATACTGGTGGGGTTGGAGGGGATTGCTTTTGCCATTGGGAGTTGTAGTTGCTGGGATTTATAGTTAACATACAATCAAAGAGCATTCTGAACACCACCAGTGATGGAACTGAACCAAACTTGGCACACAGAACTCCCATGGCCAACAGAAAATAATGGAAGGGTTTGGTGGGCATTGACCTTGAGTTTGGGAGTTGTAGTTCACCAGATAGCACTGTGGACTCAAGCAATGATGTATCTGGACCAAACTTGGTGTGAATGCTCAATATGCCCAAATATGAACACTGGTGGAGTTTGGAGAAAATAGATCTTGACATTTGGGAGTTGTAGTTACTGGGATTTATAGTCCACCTACAATTATAGAGCATTCTGAACCCCACCAACGATAGAATTGGGCCAAACTTCCCACACAGAAACCCTACGAACAACAGTAAACACTGTTCTCAGATGGTCTTTGGCGACCCCTCTGACACTCACTCATGACCCCTTTGGGGGTCCCGACCCCCAGGTTGAGAAACACTGCCCTAAACGGTTCCGGACCAGTTTACCTGTCTGAACGTATCTCCCTCTACGAACCATCAAGGACATTAAGATCATCGGGAGGCCCTGCTCTCAGTCCCACAACCTTTGCAAGTGCGACTGGTGGGGACGAGAGACAGGTTCTTCTTAGTGGTGGCTCCTTGGATGTGGAGCTCCCTCCCCAATGAAATAATGTCTGCCCCCTCCCTCTTGGCCTTTCGTAAACAACTTAAAACCTGGCTGTGGGATCAGTAGATGTAGCAACTATGAAGAGAATGATTTTATGTGACTGGCAATGGACTGATCTTGGACTATGTTTCTGAACTGGCAGAACTTTTAAATTCAATGTTATAACTGTTTTAATTGTAACTATGCATTTTAATGTATGTGTTTGGCATCTAATGGTTGCCTGTTGTAAAGCCGCCCTGAGTTCCCTTTCGAGAGTGAGAAGGACGGGGTACAAATGCGCAAAATAAATAAATAAGTAGGCAGTTCTTATAAAATGCAAGTATTATTTGTGTGTAATGATGTCATGGTGGAACATTAGTGATGAGTGGCAAGATTTTAATTGCTGTCATTTTTTCAGATGTGAAATTAGTAATGAGAAGTTAGTAATATAACTGAAAGCCATCCCTCTTTTACCAGTTTGCACAAAGGATTCCAGACAACAGAAGCCTGAACGTTTGACCTGCATTTTTTTCTACTCCGAAAGCTCCAACTACACTCTTACTTGCAACTGGACTACTGGAGTAGAAGCACCTGTTGGAAGAACTTACACTCTCACAAGAAGAAAGTAAGCATTAAATGGTTGGGTTTAATTGAATATAGAGTTGAATACATAAAGTAGTTTGTTTTACAAATGTGGGTACTGTTCAATTATTCCAGGAGGCCAAAAGGGGGCGCTAGACAGAGAAGGATAGTCCATTTTACCAGTAAAGGGGGGGGGGAGTTGGAGGAGGAAAACAATTTCCCCATTTTCTCTGGTTATTCCCCCAACCCCTTCCCATGTCATAAATGAAGGTTGTTTCCATGATGGCAATATGGGCGGGGGGAATAACAGGAAAACAGGGGAAATAGTTTTACTCCTTTAACCCCTGGGTGCACCCCACAAAATGGATTATCCTTCTCTGTCCAGCGCCCCTTTTGGCCTCTGCCCGGATAATGGATCAGTACCCAAATTTGCATTTTCATCGGCAAATGTAGCACATAGACTTGGTGATTACAAATATCTTGCTACCATGATCTCTTCTGGAAAAAATTGCTATACAGTTATGAGTATTGAATTTGGTTTGATTCAAATAAATGTCTTCAAAGTCTAATGTCTAACATGAGGTTTTTTGCTTACCTGTTCGTTTGTTTTTTGTGTATGTGTCAGGAGCGATTTGAGAAACTGCAAGTCACTTCTGGTGTAAGAGAATTGGCCGTCTGCAAGGATGTTGCCCAGGGGATGCCTTGATGTTTTACTATCCTGTGGCAGGTTTCTCTCATGTCTCATGAAGCTGGAGCTGACAGAGTGGAGCTCACTCTGCTCCCCAGATTCGAACCATTGACCTTTTGGTCAGCAGTTCTGCTGGCACTAGGGTTTAACCCATTGCACACCGGATTACCAGTTAATTAGCAGAGACTGAAAGAGCTAATCATCAAGAACAAGCCATCTAGCAGGCAGATAAATCCTGCAACAAATTTTAATCCAGTTGTTTACTTAATATCTATTTGGACTATTTCAAATAGTATTGGCCAAGAGTCTGCTCATCTTCCCATTACATCCTGTCATATGCTAATAGGATTCTTCTCCATTCTACATGGAAGAGAGATCCAGACTGCATCTATATAAATAAAAATGTAATGTTTGTTTGCGAGATTAACATAACTCAAAAACCACTGGATGAATTGACACTAAATTTGGACACAATACGAACGAGTGACCATCAGACGAACGAGTGACCATCACTCAAAAACACTGAAAAATGTAAAAACATAAAAAGCCAAAAAAGCAAAAAGACGCTACAGCACATGCACAAAAATGACTCCCCTGGCAAACAAAACACACAAAAGTATATCCACACTCATTTCTGGACTACAACTCCCAGCATCCCTTACACCAGGCCCTTTAGGAGAGGAGGATGATCCAAATGCACTGCTTCCAAGCTGCAAGGTTTCTTATCCTTGGATTTCTTTGAGAGCATCCCAATCCCTGCATATTTCCAATTCCCTATTTCTGGAGTGCAACTCCCAGCAATCCTCCAGATAGCTAGATTAGGTAGAGATAGGTAGGTAGGTAGATAGATAGATCAGGAGGACTGCTGGGAGTTGCAGTCCAAGGATAGGTAGAGGAGAAAGCAAGGGGAGAAAGAGGAAGGGAAAGAAAAGGTGGGGGAGAAGGAAGTGAAGGAGAAGAGAAGGAAGGAAGGGGAGGGAGAGAGAATGAAAGAAAAGGAAAGGAAAGGAAAGGAAAGGAAAGGGAAGGAAGGAAGGAAGGAAGGAAGGAAGGAAGGAAGGAAGGAAGGAAGGAAGGAAGGAAGGAAGGAAGGAAGGAAGGAAGGAAGGAAAGAAAGAAAGAGGTAGGGAAGGAAGGAGAGACAGAAAGAAGAGAAAGAGGGAGGGAAGGTTGGCCACAGCAATGCATGGCGGATACAGCCATGAATAAATGAATGAAATCCTGACCTCAGAAAGGTCAATAAAGTATTTGGACAAAAAGAATGAATAAAGAAAGGATTTAGCTAAACATATCATTTCTAAACAATCACTACTAATCTCTGTTTGCAAGAGATATATAGGGTTCTATGACCGATAATGTTTTTTGGGGGGTTTCAGTTGAAATTTGGCCATCAGAATGCAGACCAGTTAACTGAGGTGGCCTCACATTTGTACCATTGGGCGTCAAGAGGTGGGAGCAGGGCACTTCCACATTTCAGTTCCTGGTCAGCTGTATGCCAAGCCAGATATGGAAAATCTACTTGTTCATCTCCTATGGTGATGATTCTGGCAATTTAAAATGTATTAAGAACTGTGAAAGTGGTACTTTGGAAGAGAGTCGGTAACAGACATTCTTCTCTTCCTGCTGCAGAGCTAATGCATTTTAGGGGCAGAAGAAAGTATTTGGGTTATTTGGGGCCGTGGTAGCACAGTGGGTTAAACCACCAGCTGCAGAAAATCTTGCTGACTGGAAGATTGGTTGTTCAAAGCCATGGGTTGGGGTGAGCTCTCACCATCAGCCCTAGCTTCTGCCTATCTATCAGTTTGAAAACAGTAATGTGTGTAGATCAATAGGTACCGCTTTGGTGGGGAGTTAAAAGGTGCCCATGCAGACATGCAGGCCATTTGATCAGGAAGACGTCCGCGGACAACAGGCTCCTTGGCATGGGAAATGGAGCAAGAGCACCTCCCCATGGCTGCAGTTGAGCACAGCCTCCAGATGCCGGAGATGAAAAGAGGGAAGCCTTTGCCTCTCTCTATGGACTGTCTGTCTTTGTTGTTGATTGTATAATGGCATTGAATGTTTGCCCTATATGCATTCTGTAATCTGCTCTGAGTCCCCTCGGTAAGGTAGAGCGGAATATAAATAAAGTATATTTATTTGTTCTCTCAGGTCAACAGTGTCCAAATCTTTAAAGGCAACATGTGAGCTACCAGTTAGGTGGAAAAAACCCCAAACAACAACAAAAAAGCAAACGCCTGAATGAAATTCTAATACATATTGTATGTAATGTTGTCATGACACATTTCGATCCATTATTTTCTACGCAGGAGAGAATCATTTGTTTTAAATGTTTTGTATTACAACCCATGGAATTTCAAAATGCTTAACTTTTATCATCACTGTTATTAATTAGCTTAAACATAAACATTTCAAACATTTTTTTAAAAAATTCAATTTACTAATTACTATTTTCTCTCATATTTTACAGCTATTATTGTGCTATTACGGATCATTGTAGAAGCAGCAATGGCCAGTGTTCTTTATATGATGTTCCATATTCTGTTCCTTCTTATCTTGAGCTAAAGGCAGGATATCAAAAGGAAGAAACGAAGCCTCTTTATTTTAACCCAGAAGAGATATGTAAGTACTAAGGGTGGCATGCTTGGTTTTGTGTTGGGTCAGCCATTTAAAAAAAAAAAGAAAGGAATCTTCCCTGGCAGAATTAAAGATATATGTGCAAAAATGTTACTGAAGAACAAATATTTCGTAAAATGAATGCGTTATTCAGAAATTTGCCAATTCTCAATTTATGCATCACGGCCATCACTAATCCCCTCTCTCATTCAGCTGATATGAAAGATAATACTTCTTTTGTCATGCTACTCCTCTATTCTGCTTTGGTGAAACCACACCTGGAATACTGTGTCCAATTCTGGGCACCACAATTGAAGGGAGATGTCGACAAGCTGGAATGTGTCCAGAGGAGGGCGACTATAATGATCCAAGGGTCTGGAGAACAAGCCCTATGAGGAGCGGCTTAAAGAGCTGGGCATGTTTAGCCTGAAGAAGAGAAGGCTGAGAGGAGACATGATAGCCATGTATAAATATGTGAGAGGAAGTCATAGGGAGGAGGGAGCAAGCTTGTTTTCTGCTGCCCTGGAGACTAGGATGCGGAACAATGGCTTCAAACTACAAGAAAGGAGATTCCATCTGAACATGAGGAAGAACTTCCTGACTGTGAGAGCTGTTCAGCAGTGGAACTCTCTGCCCCGGAGTGTGGTGGAGGCTCCTTCTTTGGTGGTTTCAACAAGACTTTGAGAATGACCAGTTCTAGTCCAACCCAAACATTGTTGAATATGGCCTTGCACTCTTACCTATTACCCTGGTCATCCCTCTAATAGGCTCCGGAAATGAGCAGCCACAGAGCTGCCGTTCATTTTCCGGTCCCAATTCAAAGTGCAGGTGCTCACCTACAAAGCCCTAAACGGTTTTGGGACCCGCCTACCTGCGTGACCGCATCTCTTTAACCAGTGGTTCTCAAGCTGTGGTTCCCCAGGTGTTTTGGCCTACTACTCCCAGAAATCCCAGCCAGTTTACCAGCTGTTAGGATTCTGGGAGTTGAAGGCCAAAACATCTGGGGACCCACAGGTTGAGAACTACCTGCGTGACCGCATTTCCATATACGAACCCACACAATCCCTTCTGTTGAGGCCCTGCTCACGATCCCACCAGTATCGCAAGCGCGATTGGTGGGGATGAGGGACAGGGCCTTCTCGGTGGTGGCCCCACGACTCTGGAATTCCCTCCCCAAGGACATCAGGCACTCCCCAACACGGCCAGTCTTCAGAAGGAGCTTGAAAACATGGATGTTCCACTGTGCCTTCCCAGATTAAGGAATCCCAAGCAATGTCCCTAATGCACTTTATGAGAGAGTTAGAATTGTCTGCACACCCTTTTATTTCCAAAATATTCATCCTACCTCACCTGGACATGCCCAGCATTTTTAGAATTTTAACCATTACATTTGGCCCTGCCACATGTTTTTAATAGTGTCGTGTTTTTGTTAATGTTCTGCTTTGTTATGAGTTATTTATTTTGCATTGTATTGTTGTTGTTGTGTTTTTGCTAATGATGTACTTTGGGCTCGGCCTCTTGTAAGCCGCACCGAGTCCTGTGGGAGATGGTAGCAGGGTACAAATAAAGGATTAATTATTATTATTATTATTATTATTATTATTATTATTATTATTGCTCACTCACTTATTTGTCTGAGAAACTGACAATTGAGAAGTGTGGCCTGGCTTGACCTCACTATCCTTGTTCCTACAAAGAAAAGAGTTGCCTGCAGCCCCCCTTTTTTGCAGTGCCCAAGAAAAATAAATTTAAAAATCACTAAAATATAAACAATGTTCACCACACCTCTTATTTATTTCAGTAGAGCGTTCCTTGCTGCTGCCATTAGGTTAATGATACAGTTTAGCTTTTGAAAGCCTGAGAGTTCTTCCTTTCTCAATTCCAGTGAAACCCGGTCCTACTGAGATAAGTAAAGTAGAGCCAATTGCAGGGAAGAAGCAAATGCTAAGAGTTTCCTGGGAAAGACCTCGTAATACACCAGCAAGGGCTAAGCTAAAATGCCGAATTCACTACACAGCAACAACAAAAAATCACACTGTAAGTTGATTCTTATTGAAGTTGCAATTCATTTAGTTCATATAACTAATGGCAGGTTACATAATCTGCAGCAAATATTGTGACAAATTTCTGTGTCGTGTATTATAATAGTAGGTATGTTTGTGTGTGTGTGTGTGTGTATGCTTTGTAGCGAATTAATTTGTTAGTGGGTTTGTTCCACCCTTTCTTGAAAGGCGCAGGGCAAAACCCACTATGACCGCTTTCTGGTCAATCAGAAGTCCTGGGACTTCTAAAGGGGCCGTCCGCACAGCCATCCCGCATTTTCCAGGCTGAATCAGACCTGGGAAATGTGAGAGGGCTCTAAGCCCAAACCCTGGCGCTTAGGAATGAATTGCCAGTAGAAGGGGGGGACAGGAGCCATTTTTCTTCCCCCTTCTCCTGGTGCATTATACCTAAGTGCCAGGAGAGGGCAGGCAGAAGGGAAATGTCGGCCCCATAAGTAATTTTCTTTTTTAATGCTTGTTAAAGGGGTTTGGGGAAGGGGTGGGGTTAACATGGGAGTGGGGGTTAACAACATGTGCGGAAAACGCGGGCTTTTTGGGTGGTGTGTGGACTACAGTACACCTTGACCTGTGTTTTTTAAACCTGGGTCGGCACAGAATTTTCCGCTGTGTAGAACTGCCCTCAGTGGAAACTTTGCAGGTTCAAGCATGTATAAATTCTATTAATTTAGTAAATCGACTCTGGCTGAGGCTAACAATTTGATAGAGGCCATGATCTTGCACTTAGCATCTATAAAGTTCACACATTGTGGGAATGTGCCTTCAAGTTATTTCTTTATTTACAGTATTTAAATTCTGCCCTTCTCACCTCACAGGGGACTCAAGGCAGATTACATATTATACATGGCAAATATTCAGTGCCATAGACACACAACATATATAGACAAACACAGAGGCAATTTAACATTGCAGCTTCATGAGGGTATGCTCGAATTCCAGCCACCGGGGGAGCTGTCGCTTCACGGTCCACTTGTGACACTGAGTCCTTGATGGAGTACTTCCTCATTCTTTCGCCCTCTGCTGGAGATTTTTATGGCATTGTAAATTAGTTAGGTACCCCGCAGAAGTGGTACCTAAATTTCCTACTTGATAGATGCAACTGACTTTCGAGCTGCAAAGGTCGACAGCAAGCTAGACAAATGTTTGGGAGCTTACTCCCACCCAGGCTGGTGTTGAACTCATGACCTTTTGGTCAGTGGTGATTTAATGCAGCTGACCCATAGCCAACTGTGCCACAGCTGTCGACTTATTGCAAAATTTCATAAATTTCATAGGGTTTTCCTAGGCAAGGTGTACTCAGAGGTGGGTTTCTTAGTTTCTTCCTCTGAAATATATGGTAGCCTACAGCATGTGGTATTCATTGGTGATCTCCTACCCAAGTACTAATCAGGGTACCCCACAATTCTTTGCAACCACTGTTTTCCACTTGAGCTGTATTGGGGCTAGGAAGATATTTGAATTTTTTGTATATGTATAGGAAATATTAATTTCTTTTCACTGTAATTTATGTTTTTAATAGTAAAACAGGGTTTTCTTCATTTTTAGGGCTATAAAAATATTGTGACAAATGTTGATGACAGGGGAGAGTACAGTCTCACTAATCTGTGGGATTTTACAAACTATACTGTTGTCATGCGGTGTACTCTTCTTTTATCAAGAGTCTGGAGTGAATGGAGTGCTAAGAAAACAGGAACAACAGAAGAACAAGGCAAGCAACAACTGAAATTTTAAACAACTGCTAATTTTCGAACAGCCTCAAGTCAAACTTTTCCATGAAGATTGTTTACACTTTTGTAAATGTTTCAGAAGGTTCACACAAAATAATGCCAGTTGCCATAGGTGACTTGAAGGCACATATACACATGCTGTGCAAGCTTTTATTGTCAGTTGATACAAAAAATTGTCAGTTGATACCCAAAGAATCAGGTATGTGTGCTTTTTGTTGCATTGACTATCTGTTTGCTGCTGAAACAGGATACCATCCAGCCAGAATCAGTGAAAGGCAGCAGTTGCTATCTTGGTGAGATTGTACAAATACACAATTCATGCATTGTTCCTTTTTAATTTTTAATTTTATTTTAATAGCTCCTTTGAAGGTAGACCTGTGGAGAATAATTAAATCTGATCAGTTCACCAATGACCGAACTGTACACCTTTTGTGGAAGGTAAATATAGTTCACTGGACACTTTGGAATGTTTATTTCTTTGGTTTAATATGTGGATGGAGAATGTACTTTACAGTTTTCTTTATTTCTCAGTATGTTTCATTAAAAAACAGCACTCTTGTTCTGAAAAGTCATTAGTTTTTTATGAGTACTACAGCAGCAGCCCTAACTGGATAAGTAAAGGTAAAGGTTTCCCCTTGACATTAAGTCTAGTCATGTCTGACTCTGGGGTGTGGTGCTCATTTCCATTTCTAAGCCAAAGAGCCAGTGTTGTTCATAGACACCTCCAATGTCATGTGGCCAGCATGACTGCATGGAGTGCTGTTGCCTTCCCACCTGAGCGGTACCTATTGATCTACTCACATTTGCATGTTTTTGAACTGCTAGGTTGGCAGAAGCTGGGGCTAATAGTGGGAGCTCATGCTACTCCCCAGATTAGAACCTGTGACCTTTTGATCAGCAAGTTCAGCCGCTCAGTGGTTTAGCCCGCAGCACCACCGGGAGATTCTAACTGGGTCACCTTGAATAGTCTGATTTCAGAATATATTTTTCTGGTAAAGGACTTGTATTTTAAAATATTGTTCTGTTTACTGAATTCTGATGATAATGATAAGGTCTACCAACCAAAAGATTGCAAGTTTGAAGCCCCGGGTCGGCGTGAGCACCTGACTGTCAGCCTTGCTCACTGTTTACCTAAGCAGTTCAAAGACAGCTTATAGCTGTGATTAGAAAAATTAGGTTCCGCTACTGCGGGGGCGGCATTTTATGACACCATAAAGAAAAAGATCAAAGAATGCCCTTGACCAAAAGGAAGGAGGAAGTTCTGATGGCTCTTCATCATAGAGGATGGAATGACAGCACCCCCCCCCCGTGACTGGCAACTTCCAAAGATGCCAACAAGCTGGATGTTCAAGACAACACAATATATCTCCTTTCTGTTCTGTCTGTCTTTGTCCCGTCCAAAAAACGACATTGAATGTTTGCCGTGTTTGTGTACTGTGATCAGCCCTGAATCCCCTTTGGGGTGAGAAGAGCGGAATATAGATAAAGCATTATTATTATTATTATTATTATCATTATTGAATCACTACCATGAACTTCTCCACCCAACAGGAGTGCAAAGAATTCCCATGTTCAGGAATAGTGAATGGATATAGAGTAAAATACTTTGCTGAAAACAAGCCTTCCTCTGAAAATACGATAAACATTAGTGACAGTAATATCACTCTCAACCTGACCAAGGAAGCCCATGTAATAAGTGTAACTGCTTTTAATGAAGCTGGAGCGTCTCCTGAGGCTACATTGAGAATTCCATCATTCCATGAAGACTCTGGTAAGTTTGTATAGCAACTGGACATTCCCGAGTTGCATTTTTCCCTTCAATACGAGATTGTAGCTTCAAATGTGCTCTTTTGATGTCTTATTGTCTCCTGCCTTTCGTTCTAAAGCATAATAAGAGTTTTTATTAATCACAATAATATGGCGTTAAATTGCTGACATCTGTTTAAATCACCATTCTTATTAATACACGTGTACATGTGTTCTCCTAGATCCTGAATGGATTGTTTCTCTTAAGACTTCTGTTTTAGAGGAACAAATGTTTTTGGAATGGGAAACCAAAGATTTAGAAATACAGAACTATATTGTAGAATGGTATTATGAACCAGATTCAGTCAAGAGATCATGGCAAAAGGTAACAAACGTGACACAATGGACATCGCCAAAAGGTAGGTTTAAAAATGTTTGCATTTAGTAAGGCTGGTAAAGGTTCTGACTAGTAACTACCTGCCATTTAAATGCACCATGTTGGTTATTTCTGTATCCTCTGTATTTGTTGTTTCTGTTTCCTCAATCTTTTGTCTCATTTCTCAATCAAAAAATAGATATTATAATATAAATCTATACAGACAGCCCCCAAGTTACGAACAAGATAGGTTCTGAAGGTTTGCTCATAAGATGAATTTGTTTGTAAGTTGGAACAGGCCCAAGGTGTTTCAAAAATACTGAGAATAAGTCTCAGGGATACTTTGTGCTTTTCCTGCATGGCAGGGGGTAGAACTAGATGGCCCATGTGGTCTCTTTCAACTCTATTTTTCTATGGATTGTCTTGTGTGTAGTATTCATGTACCTATATATTTTTCTATACCTCTGTGAGTGTTTACATGTATATGTACAAACACAAACACACACATACAGGGTGTCTTAAAACCATTGTGGTTTTCCTGCATGGCAGGGGGTTGGACTGGATGGCTCATGTGGTCTCTTCCAACTCTATTATTCTGTGATTTTATGTGTAACTCCAGATACACATATACACATGTTGTGGTTAGCATAGATTAATGCCCCTGTGAGACTCGTTTTGCTGCCTGTGCCCCTGTTCAGAAGATTTCACCTCACTTTCTGTTTCTGAAAAATTGGATTTTGAAAAAAATGGGACAAATTTGTTGTTGTTCATATAATAATAAATAACATTAATTAGAGTTGCAAAAAAACCTATTCCAGCATTGGCATATAAGTTGTCCTGTTACAAAAAAATGCAACATATATAAGCATATTTGGTAGGTAAAATATGTAAATGAATATGCATAATATGAAAAATGCATTTAAAACATATATGATTTTCTATGTGAAAAATGCCCACAGCCTCATGCAAAATAAGAATGGGGAAAATGCTGGTGGGATTTGAATAAATGCAATCCAGTTGAGATAGCGATACTCATGTCTGTATATGTGGCCAACTTAAAACTGCATTGTCTCATACTGTACCAGCAGGAAACATATGTTTAGAAACCTTGTTCTGCATTCTGGTTTGGTGTGTTAACTTGTCTCCAAAAGTCTCCAGAAGGATACTTAAAAGTATCCAGAAGTATACTTTTGAATATACAGTAAAAAGGGAGAAATCCCAACGTCAGAAAAAGTATATGGTCATACATGCCAAATTCCTATTAAATTCCTCATGCCTCCAAATGAGCCCTGACACATTTACTAGTTACACACCTGTTCAAAAAAGTAAGGAAGAATGTCTCAAAGAGAAGGTACTAACTGCCTTGAAAGACCCCGTTATGCCGTTGGTTCATCCTTTCTTTGCCACATGTCTGAAAAAAATACAGTATACAGTAGGGGTCTTGCTCTGTAGCTTAAATGAAATACTCATATTCCATGTTTCTGTTTTCTTTCAGGAGCCTTCATACGTTTTAAAAATTACTACATCTCTGTATATCCCTTGTATAAAGGTGAAATAAAACCTCCACATTCCACAAGAACTTACTTTCATGAAGGAAGTATGTATAAAAACTAGCCTCTATAATTAATGCATTTCAGTGATATCTGATAGCTTGCATGTGAACTTAATTTCTGTGGAGAGTAGCCTTGTGCACGGATTTGGTTTGGTTGGTTCCCTTCGGTCAATCCAGCTTGTTTGGCTTGTTCAGCTGGCCATAATGGTAAGGGCTCAGCCATCATGGTTTTTTTCAGCCGGGCATACCTTCTTCCCTTCTATTCAGGAGCATGCTGCATGTGCTTCCTTAACCCTGTTCCTCAGACCCAGTAAGAAAGGAAGAAAAGGAGCCCAGGAATGGTGCTTCCTTAACCCTATCCCTCAAATCCAGGCCCCCTTGAAAGGAAGAAAGGAAAGGATCTCAGGAACGAAAAGGGGAACCTCGTAAATTCCTCATTCCCGCCAACGGGCCGGATCTTCCCAGATCTTTTGGCTGCCTAGCCGAAAACAGATTTTTTGATTAGTCGATTTTCGGGAGGCTCCCAAAAACAGATCTGGGTACCCAATTTGGATACCCAAAATGGATTGCCCTTTTTTGCGTCTCATAGACTTAGCATGGGGATTTGGTTAACCTGTTAAAAGTCATGAGTGAACCAGGTTTTTTAAAAAAATCTGAAACATTTCGGGGGGGGGGGTGTTGAACCCCTAACCCCCCCCCTTGCTACAGGCCTGTGCGGAGGTCATAGGTGTCTCCAGGCCTGGAGGGCAACAATAGCTTGCTCTAGGATATGACTAGGAATTGTTCATTTAAAAGTGCCCTAGTAAAACTGTTTTGCAAAATTTTCATTTAAGTGAATAATATTCTGAAATAGTTAATGGCTTTTTGTTTGCTTGTTCATTTGTTTGCCACTACACATTTAGTCCCAGAAATGGGTCCTTCAGCTGAAGTAGAAGAGAATATTGGTAAAAATGAGGCTACTATAAAGTGGAAGGAAATACCAGAAGGCAAGAGAAATGGTTTCATCACGAACTACACTGTATTTTATAAAGCCGAGGATGGAGAAGAATTTGGTATGTATGCATCCATGAACCAGAAACGTATCTTATATCACATGCTAGTGATGTTTTCTAATTTAGAACATTTGCAAGTGAGTTGCCTCCAGTTAACTTTAAATTAAGCAAATATATAAGCAGGAAGCTAACAACAGCAACGGAAGCATTTAAGTTAGTACAAATAGTGTGAAGCCTCCTGTTTTACTGAATTAGGAATGGCTAGGCTGGAGATCTGTTCTTAAACTTGTTCTCAGGGGAGGGGAGGTGTTTGCAGCTTTATTTAGTTCCTTCTGATAACCAATTAATGAATGCCAAGATAACCCATTTGAAAGCAAGGGTATCATGTCACTCCATACATGTTCTGAAGTATACCAGTAGATCTACATATTAATAAACGAACAGATTGGTCTGGAATTCATTGTGAAAATGCAATGCAAAGATACAGACTGGGGGACGATGCTTGGCTCAACAGCAGTATGTGTGAAAAAGATCTTTGAGTCCTTGTGGACAACAAGTTAACAAGAGGCAACAGTGTGATGCAGCGGCTAAAAAAACCAATGGGATCTTGTCCTGCATGAATAGGAGTCTAGTGTCTAGATCCAGGAAACTCATGTTACCCCTCTATTCTGCCTTGGTCAAACCACACCTGGAATACTGTGTCCGATTCTGAACACCACGATTGAAGGGAGATGTTGACAAGCTGGAATGTGTCCAGAGGAGGGTGACTAAAATGATCAAGGGTCTGGAAAACAAGCCCTATGAGAACTGGGCATGTTTAGCCTGAAGAAGAGAAGGCTGAGCGGAGACATGATTGCCATGCATAAATAAATATATGAGGGGAAGTCATAGGGAGGAGGGAACAAGCTTGTTTTCTGCTGCCCTGGAGACTAGGATGCAGAACAATGGCTTCAAACATTAGGAAGAACTTCCTATCTGTGAGAGCTGTTCAGCAGTGGAACTCTCTACCCTGGAGTATTGTAGGGCTCCTTCTTTGGAGGCTTTAAAGCAGAGGCTGGATGGCCATCTGTCAGGGGTGCTTTGAACGCAATTTTCCTGCTTCTTGGCGGGGGGTTAGACTGGATGGCCCATGAGGTCTTTTCCAACTCTATGATTCTATGATTCTAACCATAGAGTTGAGAGTAATTGAAAAACAGAATGTTTGTGTGTTAATAGAAGCAGAGAAAGGAAAACAGCAGACAGGAAAAAGAAATTCTAACCTCCTAGTAATAATTCAGTGAGGGGTGGATCAGTGTATGCCTTCTAGAAGGCTTTTCCAAAAACTCGCCTTGCATTACAGAAGGTTGATTCCAAAAGAATGGCAAAATGACACTTTTTCTTACCCTCGAGAACTGGAATGTTTGGTGTTAGGGTTGCTTGTGTTGAGGGAATGCCTGGAAGGAAACAAAAAGCATCTTTTATCTTTTCCCAATTCCTGAAATTATTTCCTTCCTTGAAGTCTGCATTATTTCCTCCCCTGAAGTCTGAACTGCACTACAAAGCTGTTCCATTCCATATAGACCCCAGAGAAAGCATGCTTTTTTAGGGCAATAGCTGGGTGGTGTATGATCTGCTAAATATTGGGATACAGACCTTATCCACCTGGACAATATAGCTAGTGAGGAATGGTTTCACAATTGGAGAGATATATTTGCTGTGCTATTTTATTTTGTCATGAGCTGCTCTGCTATTCTTTGTTTTGGAGCAGTAGTATTATGGATGTCCTCCTACTCAGTGTATTTGTTTATTTTCAAATAGCTCTTGGAGAACTCTCAGGCTTGAAATAATTGAATAATTTGACAATATTAGCTCACAGCTTAAACCCTACGTTTCTGTCTTGCTAGGAGAAACTGTGAATTCCAGTGTTCTACAATACCAAATTAAGTCTTTGCAAGCTAACACTAAATACACAGCTCATGTTATGGCAAACACCAGTGCCGGTGGAAAGAATGGAACAGCCACCACTTTCATCACCAGTAAAATTGGTATGTTATTTTGTGCAATATTTCTATTTACTGATTATTTTTGGATGTGTGCCTTTGTGTAAAGTGTTTATACCCTGCACTGTGGACCAAAAGTCTCCCACAGAAGATTACAGTGTCAATAACAAGAAAGACTCTGCTTTCTGTTGTACAATAAAAAAAACATACAACAGAAAAAAGCAAGAAAGGATGAGGGAAAAAGGTGGGGGGGGGGAGATAATTGGTGCCAGTTTTTAAATGTTACACAATTGTTATAAGGGCTGCGGTAGCACAGAGGTGTAAAGCTGCTAGCTGCAGGAAAGGCTGCTGACCGGAGTGTCAACAGTTCAAGCCGCAAATCGGGGTGAGCTCTCAACTGTCAGTCCTACCTATCAGTTCGAAAGCATGCAATGCGAGTAGATCAATAGGTACTGCTCCAGTAGGAAGGTAAAAGGGCACCCCATGCAGACATGCCGGCAAAAGAGCAGAGAAGGCTATGGCCAAGTAAGCTCCTTCGCCATGGAAAAATGGAACAACAGCACCTCCCCATGGCCAGAAGTTGAGTATCACCTCCAGATGCCGGAAATTGAAAAAAGGGGAAGACCTTTACTTTATTTGTGTATTGTATGTCATTGTTCATGTTAAAAGGCATTGAATATTTGCCTTATATGTACTGTAATCCGCTCTGAGTCCCTCTGGGGAGATGAAGTGGAATATAAATAAAGTGTATTATTATTATTTTACTGACACCACAGTATGACACTGCAAACGAAATCTATATACTGGATTTCGTATCAAAACATCACAAGTCAAACACTTCCAAAGCATCTAGGACTTTATTATTATTTTACTGACACAAAAACACAGTATGACACAGCAAACAAGATATATATGATGGATTTCTTATCATAAAATTACAAGTTGAACACTTCCCAAGTGTCTAGGACTGTGTGATGTATTTTCGAATGATGCATGCAGATCCAAGTAAGGTGGCCTTTTGCAGTTCATGATTTTGTCAATGTTTATTATTTTCAAATGCCGGCTGAGATCTTTTGGCATGGCACCCAGTGTGCCAATGACCACTGGGACCACCTGTACTGGTTTATGCCAGAGCCTTTGCGTTTCGATTTTGAGGTCCTGATAACAGCTGAGTTTTTCCTGTTATTTTTCATCAATTTCGTCAATTTTGGCACAACACCCAGTGTGCCGATGACCACTGGGACCACCTGTACTGAGTTTTTCCTGTTGTTTTACCTCAATGCGACGGTCACCTGGTATGGCGGCATCAATAATCCAAACTTTTTTCTTTTCCACAATTGTGAAGTCTGCCGTATTGTGTTCCAAAACTTTTTCAGTCTGGATTCGAAAGTCCCACAGTATTTTGCGTGTTCATTTTCTACTACCTTTGCAGGTTTATGATCCCACCAATTTTTTACTACTGGCAGGTGGTACTTGTGACATAAGTTCCAATGAATCATTTGGGCCACAGAGTTGTGCCTCTGTTTGTAGTCCGTCTGTGCAATTCTCTTGCAGCAGCCGAGGATATGAGCTATGGTTTCATCCGTTTCCTTGCACAGTCTGCATTTTGGGTCATCAGCTGATTATTCAATCCTGGCCTTAATGGCATTGGTTCTCATGGTTTGCTCCTGAGCTGCAAGAATCAGGCTTCTGTCTCGTTCTTCAGTGTTCCATTAGTGAGCCATAACCAGGTCTTCTTCTTGTCAACTTTTCCTTCAACTTTGTCAAGGAACTGCCAATGCAATGCTTTCTTGTGCCAGCTGTCAGCTCTGGTTTGTTGTGTAATTTTCTTGTCTGCTGTGCTTTGAGAAGTTTCTGATTATTCAATCAAAGCAGGTTCTCCACTTTCCTTTACATATTCTGCCAGAGCGTGTTTTTCTTCTTCGACTGTTTGTTTTACCTGTAAAAGTCCTCTGCCATCAGACCTTCTAGGTAGATATAGTCAGTCAACATCACTGCAAGGATGCAGTGATGTGATGAATCATAATCATGAGTTTTCTTGTTTTTCTATCCAGTGTAGTAATAATAATAATAATAATAATAATAATAATAATAAGTAGTAGTAGTAGTAGTAGTAGTAGTAGTAGTAGTAGTAGTATCTGCCATGCTGTAATTACTGCAATCTAACAGGAAGTTGTTTGTCTTCTTAACACTAAAAGTGAACTTGTTCAAGGAGAGAGCCATCATTTACAGGGGACGGGTGGCCTGGCAGAGTGGCCATGGTCCTTGCTTCTGTTGAAGCTTGATGGAAGTTGGGGAAGAGACAGACTCTGAAGTCAGTTTTTTCAGCTGAACCAGTGGAGAACTTTTCTCCAGCGCTATCTCTACTGCATTCTAATAGTTTCTGAATAACAACAGAGGGACATGTATCTTTGGCTGCCATTCTGTTGTTTGATCTGAACTCAGCTCTTTGATTTCAGTGATATTTATTCAGTGAAAGTAAGACTGAATTTATAATTAAGGAGTTTAAAGTAAAATACTTGCATTTTTTATATTTTCCTTTATTCTGCCTTTCCTTTAGGTGTGCTATATATTATTCTTACGCAGGTCATTGTTGGAATATTCATGCTTTGCTTACTGATTATTGGCATACTGGTAGCTCTAAAGCGACATGCGTAAGTAAACTTTTAAACTGCATGCTTGAAAATACATACTCTGTTTTAAGCATCTTGTTTGCCAAAGTATCTGTGCTATATTCCCTTATACTGGTGGAAGGAAAACCCGCTGAGTTTTCCCCTTACCCCTCTATTCCACCTTGGTTAGACCACAACTGGAATATTGTGTCCAATTCTGGGCACCACAATTCAAGAGAGATATTGACAAGCTGGAATATGTCCAGAGGAGGGCGACTAAAATGATCAAGGGTTGGAGAACAAGCCCTATGAAGAGCAGCTTAAAGAGCTGGGCATGTTTAGCCTGAAGAAGAGAAGACTGAGAGGAGATATGATAGCCATGTATAAATATGTGAGAGGAAGTCACAGGAAGGAGGGAGCAAGCTTGTTTTCTTCTTCCCTGGAGACTAGGACAAGGAACAATGGCTTTAAACTAAAAGAAAAGAGATTCCATCTGAACATGAGGAAGAACTTCCTGACTGTGAGAGCCATTCAGCAGTGGAACTCTCTGCCCCGGAGTGTGGTGGAGGCTCCTTCTTTGGAAGCTTTTAAACAGAGGCTGGATGGCCATCTGTCAGGGGTACTTTGAATGCAATATTCCTCCTTCTAGGCAGGGGGTTGGACTGGATGGCCCATGAGGTCTCTTCCAACTTTATGATTCTATGTTTCTATGAAGAGGTTGCCCAGAGTACTGTTCTGGAGGATGGAGAGGGATTTCCTTATAAGCCAATAAAAAAATTGAAGGTATCAGCAAATACCCATCTCATGCAGTGGTATAAACCAGCCATGGGCAAACATTTGCTGTGTTGTGGGCCCGGCCAGAAGGTAGGGCAGCTGGGTACATGTTGGGTGGGAAGAACCCTGGAGGAGGAGGGCCTGGGAAAGGCTGCTCACCCCAACTTATGCTGGGAGGAAAAGCAAGACTGCCCCGAACCCCCTCCCCAATACTCCTCCCTTGATCTTTGGGCTTTGGGCTGTCCTGTCTGCATTATGCCAGGAGGAGGGTGAGACAGGCGATGTCCGAGAGCACTCTGAAGGGTTCTTAACCACTTCATGCCTTTCTCAAGCTGTCCTTCCAACAAGGACAGGGCTGTTCACATCATCCTTATGCCAGGAGGAGGGCGAGACTTGCAGCGGCTGAGAGCACTCCAGAAGGCTCTCAGCTGCTGCATGCCTTCCTCCCCTGTCCTTTCTACATAAGGATGTGGCAGGCTACTGCGTCCTTATGCCAAGAGAACAGGAAAAATGAAGAGGTCCTGGGGTAAGTGCCAGGGGGCTGCATTCGGCCCTTGGGCCTTAGTTTGCCCGTGCCTGGTATAAACTTACCAATTAAGATAAATTAAGATAGACAATACCTAACAAAACTGTATTCTAGTGAATTTTAATTACTTTTTATTAGAATTTTGACTAATAATAATAATAATAATAATACTTTGTTTGTAGCCCGTCCTATCTCCCCAAGGGGACTCAAGGCGGCTTCCAATATCATAATGGCAAACATTAATGCCTGGATAAAACAGAAGTAAAATATCAACAGAAAACAATAAAATACATTGCACAAGTTCAAACAAGGAATTTAAATAATAACAATTAAATAATCAATATGGAGAAAAGGAAGTTCATGACAAACTGGGTTTTCAAAAAGGCATCCAGTTGTTTCCTTTTCTCCCAAGTTTCAAGGGGTGGGAGGAAGGTGCATTTTTTTCAAAGGCATTTTTCAGTTCACTTTGTACAGTTACCTTCCATGTTCATTGGGATTTCTAGTTCTTCCAGTGTAACTCTGATCAACTTTTGCTGGAAACGAAACGTATGATTGCATTGGAAGGCCTTGAGACTCATTGAGAGGTGTTCTTTCTAGAAATCTCTAGGCCTTCCAGCACGACAGGAGGAAATTGACCATAGAGTCACACTGGAGGATCTAGAGATTTTGAATCAATTGTGAATAATCAAAAGTCAAAACTGCAAAAGTGGAAGAACAGTTGTATTCAATTTAAATGTAACTGGGGTGTAATGTTTCGAATTAATGTTTCCTTTTCCAACAGAAATGTAATTGAATGATACCTTATGACCAGTTAGGCAGGTGTATAACTAGTCCTTTCTTACTAACATTTTTTGGTTGTCTTATGTAGCTAAATATTTTTGGTTTTGCAGGTTAAAAAATGTTTTATGGCCTAAAATTCCTCATCCTCACATTACAACAATTTTCAACAAGGAACAGGTAAGAAAAGATTTTGTTAAGGAAATAAAATAAATCTGTTAGAAAAGGTATGTTTCAATATATATTAATATAACTGTATCTGATGGTCCAGCACAGTCCCTGTTCATAATGTACACAGCTGAATCCTTTGGTGGTATTGGGGCAAGAGCACTCAGTTTTCTTTCTTCTTTCTTACCATTTGTTTTCTTCTAAGGCTTCCTCTTATCAGTTGCCACTTTGGAGGGAGACTGGTCAGAAGAGAAAGGTTTCTTTAGGTAGCATTAATGACTCACTGACACTGGAGTCCCCAGTGGTGCAATGAGGGAAACCCTTGTGCCAGCAGGATGGCTGACCAAAGATTGGCGATTCAAATCCGGGGAGCGGGGTGAACTCCCGTCTATCAGCTCCAGCGTCTCATGCAGGGACATGAGAGAAGCCTTCCACAGGATGGGAAAACATCTGGGCATCCCCTGGGCAACGTTCTTGTAGATGCAGATTATCTCACACCAGAAGCAACTTGCAGTTTCTTAAGTCATTCCTGATACGAAAAAAAAAGGCTCGCTGTGGATTAGGAAACTCTTAATTTGGCTCTTTCTAGAACTGTTATTGTTTAATATCAATTAGGTGCTCCCAGAAGCCATCACCATCCTCTCCTCGCCTCTCGTTCTCTGAGTGGCAGCAGTGGTATTGGGCCCACTGCAACGAATCCCACTCCCACCCACTCCTTGAATCAACTCCTGTAGAAGGATTGTATTCCCTCTCCTCTTACTACCTTTCCTTCTGAAACTGCCTGCCTTCTGACTCAAGGCAAGAATGGAAGAGTGTCAACTGTTGTTCTTGGCTGCCATAGCAATCAAGTCACTTGCGTCCTTAGACAGATGAATGATTGGCAGACATACACAGAAGGCAGGTAGCAGCCCAATTTCCTTGCTTAGTTGGCTGGGCAAATTGCAGTGGATGGGATGAACGCTCACATTTGCCCAAAGTCCTTCTGATGTTTTCTTGCATGGTTCCTTCAGATTGGTTCTGACTTAGGGTGACCCTTTCAAAAGATTTTCTTGGTAAGATTTGTTCAGATTTGGGGCACTTCCAGACAAGCCCTATATCCCAGAATCTGATCCCAGGTTTTCTGCTGGATTATACGAGTCCACGCTGCCAGATAATCTGGGATAAACAGAAAACCTGGGATCAGATCCTGGAATATATGGCCTGTCTGGAAGGTTTGCCTTTGCCTTCCACAGGCTGTAAGGATGCGACTTATCACCCAGTGAGTTTCCATAACTGAATTTGAACCCTTGCCTCCAGATTCATAGTAGAGTACTCAGCCCACTAGACCATGCTGACTCCCTCTTTCTACAATGGAAATTTCCGTATTTCACCAGCAGAATTCCAGCAGTGAATTCCAGTAGACAAATAATTACACATTTATGATATTTACAAAGCTTAAAAATGTATTCATCCAAAGTGAATTAGCTTTTTTATTGCTGAAAACTCAGCAGAAGTTTATCTGTCATAGAGAATCTATTGTTTTCTTTTCTTTTTTGCAGCAGCCAATACTCTTGAGAAACTCACCTTCTGTGGATGAAACATATCCCACTGTTTTGGAAATCCAACCTTGTTTCAAGGATCATAATAAACTAGAGTTCTTGAATTCGGAGGACTGCCTCACAGGGGCAAATGATGTTACAGAAGTTGTGGCCGGCACCAAGGGCATTTTTTGGAATGGAGAACACGAAGCTCTTCCATCAACTTCCTATGTAGAACACGATTGTAGGAGTCCCATTATGAAAGGGATTTCCATATGCCATGAAAACAAGGAAGTTCAAGATCAGTCAGATTTAAAGGAGGAAACTGAAATTAATCCCTATTTGCAAAACTCAGTCTCCACAAGAAAGTTCATAGTTTCTGAGAACTTGGACCAAAATACAAAAGCAGCTAACATTCAGCCTGTTTCCATGACCTCTTGTTTGCCAAACTGCACTAGGCAGCAGTATGTGGCCCTAGAGGCATTTCATCTGTTCCCAACACATTAAAGAAAAACTGCCAGGTACTTTAAATGTCTCTGCATAGTATGTAATGCCAAGAAGTATATGACCCCTGCTTGCTAACTGTACGAAAGCAAACTTAAAACTGGATATCCTTTCAACTGTTCAATCATTTAACTTGGGGAGGGGGGATATTTAACTAGTGATGAGGTAGACTGTGTCCAAATTTTCCAAAGTTATCCTGGACTAAGTGTACCCGGCCACGCATTACTGTGGCCCATTGTGGCGAAATGGGAAAGAAAGAAAAGAGGAAGAGCTGGTTTCTAAGCTATCAATACACAACTGAAGTGGCAAAGTATCAACCTACTATAGGTCTTTTTCAGTCTCCTCGAGGCCAAAGGGTTATATGGATGTGTGGAAGGGCCCTGGGTCCACACTGCCATATAACCCAGTTCAAAGATATTATATAGGTGTTGTTGTTGTTATAGACATATAGATATTATTATAGGCATACAGATATTGTTATTATAAACACAAATACTATTATTAAAGGTATATAGGCATTATTATAGATTGTTTTAAATTTCATATCAAATTTTTATTATTTACAGTATTTATATACCACCTTTCTCACCCCTGGGGGGACTCAAAGCATTGCATGAATAAGTATAAAACTGATAAAAAAAATAGGAGCACAGGGCTAAACATCTTTCGAGCAAAAACGGGCGAAAGATGTATGGATATAATTACAGACCTATAGATATTATTATAGGCAAATAGATATTATTATTATTATAGATATTATATAGCTATTATTATAATAGATGTATACATATTATTATACGTGTATATAAATATTATTTGAAAAACAACAAGATGAGTCCACAGCATTACTATTATTGACATTGATATCATAGGCATATAGGTATTATTATTATAGATGTATAGATATTATTGACAGACAGATATTATAATTACAGATATATGGATATTATTATAGACCTATAGATAGTATTATAGGCATATAGACATTATTATTACAGACATACAGATATTATAGACATGTAGATATTATTGTTATAGACATGGATATCATACACACAATAATATACATGTCTATAATAATATCTGTATGTCTGTAATAATAATGTCTATATGCCTATAATCTATAATACTATCTATACACACACACACACACACACACACAATAGACTTATAGATATTATTATGATAGATATATAAATATTATTATTTTAGATATATTATAGCCCAGGGTTGCTATAAAGTAAAAATGGATGGCCATCATTCGGGAGTGTTTTGATTGTGCCTTCCTGGACAGCATTTTCTAACTCACAGAGCATGCCTTTTTGCCCTTTCTTTGAATATTGGACTTCATTTCCCAGAATTCCTTCCCATAACTCAGTATGGGTGAGCTTTCCGGGCGCGCGCGCACACACACACACAGAATCCCTCCTGTGTGAGTTCTCAGCGGAGGCACCTCCATGCTGCCGACAGCAGGAAAGGAAAGGAAAGGGGTAGATCTGGAGAAAGGTGTCCTCCCTCCTCATTGGGGAGGGAGTTCCATAGCCAAGGAGCCACCACTGAGAAGGCTCTGTCTCTTGTCCCCACCAGTTATGCCAGCGAAGGGGGTGGGATCGAGAGCAGGGCCTCCCCGGATGATCTTAACCTCCCCTTGAAAACTTTTTAATGAGTGAATTTCCCTTCCGAGGGGTGAGAGCACTTTCTGTTGTCTCACCCCCATTCTTAACTATGAGTCCTTTGTAAGTCGGATGTTTCTAATTCAAGGACTGCCTGTATAGCTGTAGCCAAAAAGCTTACTTGAAGTTGTTCTGAAGGACAACTCTCAACTTTTTAGCTAGGGTCAAACATACCATACTTGGCATTTTTAAAGAAATTGTTTTAAGCTGATTATTTATTATTTATTTTTTTAAAAATTCTGAGAGCAAACCAGCACTTAAGCAAAGTCTTAGATGAATAGAACTCTGGACCTCAGGATTCAAATTCCACTTCAGCCATGGAAAGCCACAGGGTGACCTTAGGCAAGTCATATTCTTTCAGCCTCAGAGATGCAAAGACAGCACCATCTGAAAGAAAATATCATGATCACCGTAAAGTTGGAAACAACTTGAAATCACACAAGAAGAAGACTGGAATACATTTTAGGATACATTTCAAAGATGTTTGATTGCACAATTTAGTCAGTAACTGAGCTCTGCTTTTCCCTTTTTTGCACCAGTATTGTCTTCACAAGTGTACACTGCTTAATCAAGACAAAAATGCAGTTCTGAGTAAGTGAGAGCTACTTCTAGTTTCAATGCCATATTTAAACTTCTCAAAAAACCCTCTTCTTAGAAAACAAAGAGGCACTCTACCATCACTCAACTCCTTTATATAACAATGTGCTGATGACAGAACCACTCATACTCTACTATATGAAGAGCGGCTCTAATCTGTTAGATACTCAGGCAATCTCTTAACTTTCTCCCAAATCTTATACAAGCAGTCCCTGAGTTACAAACATCCAACTTACAAATAACTTATAGTTAAGAACAGGGGTGAGACAACAGAAAGTGTAAATCTACCCCTTAGAAGGGGCATTCACTCCTGAGTTATCATGAGGAAACGGTGTTGCCACTGAAGGTTTATCACCAATCCCTGTTTCCACAACAAACCTTTTTTTTTTCAAAATCCAATTATCACAGGGACCAAAAGTGAGGTGAAATCTTCTGAATAGGGGCACAGACAGCAAAACAAACACCTCCCTATGATGGAGTTACACTTAAAATGTACCTATTCTGACTTACAAATTCAACTTAAGAATAAACCTACAGAACCCATCTTGTTCATAACTTGGGGACTGCCTGTATGTAGTTTACTAGCTCGTACCTTATGTATCATGCAAGCAGAAACATAGTACAACTGCAAACTACATAGTCCATTGTTTCGGCCTGCACCTAAGTACAAGGTACTAGTAGGTAGGGAAAAGGTACACAGCATATCACATGCAGCAGCATAATCCTTACTCTGAAAGAAGCCACATCATACGTGTGGACTTCTTGGCACAGCATATTTGAAACTCATGAGTGGGGATGTCTTGCTTGAATTAGATTCAGCAATTTCATTTATACCTAAAACCACAATTAAGAGAACTCTGAGCTAGGTGTTTTGGCCTACTACTCAAACACTCCTGTCATTATCCATGCTTGGTAAAGTCAACAGATTAGAATGCATTCTAATTTAAGTTGTGGTTGTTTTTACAACCATCCAGTGCTTCAATATCAACAACTTTATTTCAAATAGAGGGTGGGGCAGCATAACTTTCTTTTTTAAAATGCGCACCATTCAGTTGGTTGAAGACGTAGCAGAGTGTTAGTGGTCTCGTTCGAGAGGCGGGAGTATAAAGTTTTGACCTGACACAGTTCAGTTGCCATCATGCGTTGGAACAATGAGGAGCATGCCTTTGCCGTTGAGGCCTACTCTTCGAGCGGATTTGGAGTGGCCGACCTGCTCTCCAGGTTTGGCCCCTTGTGATTTTTTTCCATGGGGTTTTTTGAAATCCCGTGTTTATGTGAACTGTCCTAGGACCCTACAAGATTTGAAGACCTCAGAAGATCTCAGTGTATGGAGAATCCAGGAAGAAATTGCCAACGTAACGCCTGCTATGCAGGCAAGAGTCATGACAAACGCCAGAAATTGGTTTACTCAGTGTATGGAGAATGGGGGACGTCACCTACCTAATTTGATCTTCAAAACTACGTAAAACAAAACTATAGGTATGCGCCTACATTATTAAAAAAATGATTCATACAATGGGTTTTATTAAGTTTTGAAAAAAAGGAAGTTATGCTGCCTCACCCTATATAAAATAGAAAACAGCCTCGCTTAACCAGCCTTCGCTCATCCAACGTTCTGTATTATCCAACGCAGTCTGCCTCCCGCCCGGATCCATAGCTGTTTCGAAACATTGCGATGTTTTGGTGCTAAATTTGTAAATATAGTAATTACTACATAATGTTACCGTGTATTGAACAGCTTTTTCTGTCAATTTGTTGTAAAACATGGTATTTTGGTGCTTATTTTGTAAAATCATAATGTAATTTGACGTTCAATAGGATTTTCCTTAATCCCTCCATATTATCCAACATTTTCGCTTATCCAACTTTCTGCCAGCCCGTTCATGTTAGATAAGCAAGACTCTTCTGTATGTATAATTGCCTGTGAATAGAACTGTGTTACAGACTGTCAGTGTGTATTTCATGTATGATGTATGTTTAAATGTAATTTTATGTAGGAGAATAGTGATTGTAATAGATTTGTATGTCCAGGATGCATGTTTACACAGAACAGTTAAACAGCAAATGAATCAAGCTGTGAGAATGTGACCCTGAGTTCTTGCTGTGTGAAGAATTAGGGAGTGTCAGAGATAACTCCTTTCCAACTGCAGTTTGTTTTAAGTGCCTATCTCTTTTGCTTTGTTTTATTCATGTCTGTCTGCTGATGGTGTATGTTGTATCTTTGAACTGCTCAAGTAAATCTGAAACCTGCTTTTTACCGGAGACTCCAGAGTCCATTATTCAGTGCTTCCGCGATTCTTTGCCAGTGTTAATACAGACTCCCTTTAAAGCCTACTAAAAAGATTGAGCATGCTCAGACACTACCCAAAAATATTTTTGACATTCATGATTCAAACACAAAGACCTTTTCTACTATTCAGTTTTATATTTTCATTTGTATTTGTTTGCAAAAGCAGTTCCAGCACTATGGCCTTCTCATTTTAGAGGGACAAAATGTGGAACATTTGGAAGACTATATTACAAATATACATATGACATAACATGCAAATCTCTAGGTTCATGCTGGCACTTTCATGGTGATATGCCTCCGGATACAGATAAATTGCAAAGGAAGAGTCCCGAACAGACATAATGGCTAGAGATATTTTTGTTCACAAATAGGCTTTTGATCTGGCCAAACAAGAATGAAGTTTTAAAGATTTCAAGCATAAAACATTTTTTATTTTAATGCTTTTTCATACAAAGATGATATGATACTGCTGTGATCAAATGTGTTTCCCAAAGTGATTTTCTAGTACAGCCAAATATTTCTGTTGGCCCCTTTTCCTCTATTGGTAACTGTCATTCCATATACCTAAAACATAGTGTCCTAAAGGTAAGAGTAATGCCTTTGAGCCTTTACTTGGGCAATCTGCAAGTCAATAGGCCAACTCTAGGTTATTTTCCTTAAGTGTGTTGGCAACCAGAAAGAAATTGTGAACTGGAGGACACAGATACAATATTACTGAGCCAATAAGTTAAGATTAAGTTACAGGTGTATGTCTCTCAGAATACTTTTCCTTGTAATAAGGCATTTGTACTATAAGGGGATTTCAGTTATGTGAAGCATCAGCATTTGCAATTTAAGTTGCTAATTGAAACTCATTAAGTTGCAATAAATTATGGAACTACCAAATCACTATTTTGCCATCATAAATGTTATCATTCCCTTGTTAATAGTTTTCTAGAAGTTAAGTCACAATGAACCTCTATTTATACATATTCTATTAGTCTGTAATATGTATGTTATTTCTTGTCTGAGTAAGGAAATTAAATGACTACACAAGAAAATTTCTAAAATGTCCGTAGAGCTGTGCTTTAAATATTTTCTTCCTGCTCACCTCCATTTACGAGGAAGACATTAAGAGGCCCTTCCTCCTGTCTGTTGCATGGAAAGAGCAGGTAAGGCCACAGACAACAGTTTCAAAGGCCAGGGGGGAAAACACAGCTGCCTTCTGAAGCAAGCCATGTATTCAGCTCATTTTACTTTCATTTGCATTCAATGAAGCATAGCTTTAAATTGTATTGTCGAAGGCTTTCATGGCTGGAATCACTAGGTTCTTGTGGGTTTTTTCGGGCTATAGAGCCATGTTCTAGAGGCATTTCTCCTGACGTTTCGCCTGCATCTATGGCAAGCATCCTCAGAGGTTGAGAAGGTCTGTTGGAAGTAGGAAAAATGGGTTTATATATCTGTGGAATGGCTGGGATGGGGCAAGGAGCTCTTCCCTGCTGCAGTTAGGTGTGAATGTTTAGCTGATCACCTTCATTAGCATTTGAAGGCCTGCCTGAGTCTGGGAAAATCTGTTGCTGGGAGGTGTTAATCTGTGCCTGGCTTTTTCCTCTCTGTTGTTTAGCTGTTATAATTTTAGAGTTTTTTAATACTGGTAGCCAGATTTTGTTCATTTTTGGCTACCAGTATTAAAAAACTCAAAAATTATAACAGCTAAACAACAGAGAGGAAAAAACCAGGCACAGATTAACACCTCCCAGCAACAGATTTTCCCAGACTCAGGCAGGCCTTCAAATGCTAATGAAGGTGATCAGCTAAACATTCACACCTAACTGCAGCAGAGAAGAGCTCCTTGCCCCACCCCAGCCATTCCACAGATATATAAACCCTTTTTTCCTAGTTCCAACAGACCTCACTACCTCTGAGGATGCTTGCCATAGATGCAGGCGAAACGTCAGGAGAAATGCCTCTAGAACATGGCTCTATAGCCCGAAAAAACCCACAAGAACCTATAGCTTTAAATTGCTTCAGCCCAAACAGGTCAATGTGCAGTACCCACTAGAGCTCAAAATGAATTCATAACAAAAGGTTTACTTAGGCATTCATTCACATTGACAGCAATGCTAAGGATTTATTCTTATATTCAACTTATGTGGAATTAAGCTACACTGAAAACGGGTTCCTTACATGAAGATATGCATAGATTGTACAATGCAGATTTTTCACATTGTTTAAACTTGCTAAAAGTAGAAAATTTTATTTTCACAGCAAATCATATTTTTTAAAATGTAATTTTCCAATTGCAAAACCATATTTCATGATGTTCTGAACATACAGTGCTTGAATAATATGGACAAGCTCTCCCACTTTAGAAGGTTAGGTATCAGAACAAGTGATTAGAGAAGCATATTTTACAAAACACCTTACAATTAAGCAGATAGAAGCCTTTCCAGAATTAGTATTTTATTATATCAAGACCATAACTCAGCCTTTTTGGTTTTTGGTCACAAAGAGGCTTTATAGCATCATAGAATCAGGGTTGGGCCATCCAGTCTAACCCCTGACAAGAAGCAGGAAAATTGCATTCAAGACACATCCAGTAGATGGCCATCTGTTTAAAAGCCTCCAAAAAAAGGAGCCTCCACCACAGTCCGGGGCAGAGAGCTTCCCTTTATTTTATCAGGGCCTGCATTGGAGGTTTAACTATGTTAACTTTGAATAAAGCTGAGACCCTTGTAAACAGAAGGCAAACCTGGAAAGTTGTTTTTGAAGACCAACAGAACAACATACTGTTGACTAAATATGTTGCCATTCATTATACTTCAAAGCAACAGATGAATATATTATTAGTATACATGCAAGTAGTATTAACATGTAAAAGTAAGTATATCTAGGCACAAGAAAAACTCTAAGGGCAAAAAATGGTACATCATTATTATTTGGAAATGTTTAAAAGTTATTTACAGTGACTTTCTGAGCTGACAATTAACTGTCTAGGAATCTTCTACAATAAACGCCAGACAACTCAGGAATTAAGATTGTTCTCTAACCGCTGAGACTTCAAAAGTTAAGTATTTCACATTATTAAGTTGTTGAGAAAGACTCAAATGAAACTAATTCTTGTCAAGCAGTCATAGTGTTTCTGGATTTCTTTAGAATTAGTCTCGGTAAGCAAAAAGTGAAACAGATCATTCTTGCAGATGGACATGAGCGGTCCCAAATGGTTTTGTAAGATCTGCAAAAATGTTTTTAATACAATTTCTTAACTGGTGCGGGAGAACTCCCCATGTGTATTATGAAAGTTGCAGTTCTTTATGGTGGCTTCTTCTCAGTTTCCATGCTGCTTTCTTAGACTACACGAGGCATTCATAATGACAATGAAAGAAGGGAATAAGAGTATCTTGTACTGCTATTTAGTATGAAGTCCATAATATATTCCCTACAACTTTATTATATTAATTTTATTAATGAGGATATTACTTTACCCAAGCCTCATCTGGTAAAAGAACAGGTTACCTTTCATGGTGGTTCTTTGAGTAATTGTCTGTGAATTCACATGAATGGTGTTTGCAGCGATTTTGATGGGACCTCTGGCTCACTCCCTCAATGTGCAAATGGTAGTAGAGCCCAGAAGGGCTCACAAAATCTGAGGATGCCTGCCATAGGTGCAGGTGAAACGTCAGGAGAGAATGCTTCTAGAACATGGCCATACAGCCCGAAAAACCTACAACAACCCAGCAAGCAGAAAGGCCTATTTGTCTGATTCAGAGACAACCAAAAAGGAAAATAAAAAGTGCATATAGATTATCTTGATACTTTACAGGTTTCAGTTCTAAATACTATGTTTACATTTGAGTAGACTTGGCTCAAAATAAAACAAAGGAAAGGCATCAAATACTGGCATTTAGTTTTGTAACAAGAATAGCTTTTTGACACAATCTTGAGGCAAAAAGAGAAGAAATATCAGTTTATAGTTCTTTACCAGCAAGTATAGTGCCATGCAGAGGGGATCTCGTTCAAAAAAAGAGAAGACTTTGCAGATAGTAATTCTGGGAACATTGCTGACCCTTGTCCAAGGCTTAAATTCTGCTTTAAACCACTGTGTTTGGCCATAGATGAACTAAAGTATTGGGATAATTTTTAAGGTATCAGTCATTCATCATTAAAGTACTGCAATTTTATTTTTGAAAATATTTATCTCAAAAAGAGAGAACATTTGATATGTAAATATCTAATGTTTTCACAGTCAGTCATCTTCTTTTTGTCTTTATCTCTGTAACAAAACGATAGTTATCTTCTGTTCTATATTAAAACAAAGTAGAATGCCCCAAAACAAAAAGGCCACAGAAAGGTGAATGAAATGTAGTGCTTGGAAAAAAAATACTTCATTAAGAATGTCTGGAAATGTACAGTTTAAAGTCTGTTCAAGATTTCCATACGCATCCTTTTCCATAGATGAATCTGAGTTTTTCATCTGAGGCAAAGTTTAAAAACAAGTGTAACCCAACCTGTCAGAATCAATGATATGACAGCATCCTAGGGAGGATGACTAGGAGGTAGTGGTTCCCTCTCACTGGGGCATATAGCCACCCTGCCTTACTGTCTGCGGCAAATAACATTTTGGCACCTCATCGTCCGTCCCTGTAGTTGATCCCATGGCTTCAAGCTGCACAGTTGGCCCTTCTGGGCTTGGCTGGAAAACCCCCGCTAAGGCAGCTCCTTGTTCGTCTGTCTCTGGGCCAGAGTGCCATGTTTGTGAGGTCTGTCCAGCAGCATCTTCTTCATTTATGGGAGAAATCTGTGTTACCTTTTCCAAATGAGACCTGTCAGAGGCCACATCATTCCAATTGCCATTTTGTTTGAAATAGTGACGCCTTGGTGTTGAGCTGTCACTTCCCAGCACTTGCTGGTCTTCAGGCCTCTCTTCAGAGTCTAGCAAAGGTTGTGTAGACTCAGATCTAGGGAAGACTTGCGCTGCAGGTATCTGGTCCCTGTAGCCATTGGGCACCACAGTGGAATACTGCACTGTGCTGGAAGTGTTCTGGGCAGGTTCCCCTTCGTCGCTATCGGAAACACTCTGCCGAGGAGAAGACATGCAGGATGACCCTCCGATACCACTGCTGTGGCCCTCTGAGGCATTCTTCTCCTTCTTAAGCATATCAAATGGCTTCAAATCAGGTTCAGAGAAAGACTTCTTGTCATCAGCATCTATTTCTACAACGCTGACGTCCGTAAAGCTGCCTTCAGGATAGATATGCTCTTTGGAATTAAAATGCTAAAAAGAAACAAAACACAATAAATGTCATGGAAGTCCCTGACCTATCTTTATTTCTAAATAAATGAATCACTGCCCCCACCCAAATGGAAAGAGCCCGTTTCAAAATTACCTGAAATTTATTTGAAAAAAATAATTAAAGATATGCACCTTGCTTTGGAAGCCAACCTTGCTTTATAAAGAGCAATGTTCCATGTTTCCACTTTATGCATTTGGAGTGACTAAGGGGCTCTAGGAGTTTCAAAAAAAATGGCTGAAAACATGCTATTACAACTGATTGACCGGATCTAGCCCAAGTCATCTCTTCCATCCATCAGCATATTTTTGCTAACGGCTATCAAATTAGCAGAAGAAAAGTAGAGAGATGATGATGATGATGATGATTATTATTATACTTCGTTTGTTTTACCTTAGATGGTGTTTGTGGCGACCACTGAGCAATTACACTCTTTGAAGGATCAGGTACATTAGGCCAAATGTGTTTCTTGATGCTGGCAAAAGACAGAAAATCAGGAAACTGTGATCTCATGGAGCTAGCAACAATTCTCTGCATATCTAGTTACTGTTGATCATCTGACACTGCATACTTAATAGTATTTTAAAAATTGTTATTGTGCTTAGCTTTATCTAACTGCCAAGGTACGTCTGGCCAGTCTGCAGCAGGGTTTCTCAGGTACAATAACACAAGTTAAGACTTTCCTTCCAAAGAAGGTTAACCAATAAAATGTAGGCAGCTAGTGAAAACTCATTTACTTTTCCAGACTTCATACATATTTTAATTCTTGCAGATAAATTTGTTTACATTAGTTGCTCTTAATGTTTTATTTTTGCTGTTTGTTTTTCTTCTATGTATTTTGATATTGTAAACTCCTTTGGAATCCTTTTCAGAACTACAAAATGAAATATATGTAAATGATTTTATGACTAAACCACTTTTATTATCAAACAAGGGAACCAGAAGTTACTCCTCTGCATTGCTATTTCATCATTCCCAAATTTTACTTTATATACTCAAATGAAACTCTAAACCCTTCACCTAATGCCTTTCAGAGTTAATCCTGAATATTAAACAATATACTGCAATAAGCATACTTACAAGTCTCGTTTGGTGAAACAAAACAGAACACCTAGAAGAATACTCAGTAGGACTGCTAGACACACAGGGACAACTATGGCTTCTAGTTCTCCATTTGCTAAAAGAAAACAGGAAAACAAATTACTTTTATCTAGTGATGATTTAAAATTGCATGCTTTGCACTAATTTTAAAACATTTCAAATCTTTTAAGTGACCACAGAAAAAGCAAAAGACAACTCCCACCGAAGCTGGCTCTGCTCTTTTTTGCTTGAATAAAAATGTTATGTGACCAAACGATGAAAAGAACATGTGAGCAAATAATGTATCTTCTATTTTTATGAAATGGGCATCCCATCTTGCCATAAAAAAATCACAAAAAATTATCAACCCAAATAATAAAGGTAAAAAAAACCACAGCAACATAAAAAAATGATATAACTACCATATTTTCCGTCGTATAAGACAGAAATCAGATCTGATTTCAAATCCAAGACTATCAGAGTGGTAGCCAGCTCTTCGGCTTAGAAATGGAAATGAGCACCAATCCCCAGAGTCGGACACGACTGGATTTAACCTTTACCTTACCTAGAGTGAGCCAAGGGTTGGGTTCAATGTCCTTTCCCAAACAACAACAACAATAGAACCCTAGAGTTGGAAGGGACTCCAATGACCATTCAGTCTAACCCTAACTCTGCCAGTCAGGAAAACACATCCAAGCCCTCCTGACAGGTTGTCATCTTGTTCTGCTTGATAACAACAACAACAACAACAACAACAACAACAACAACAACAACAACAACGGAACCCTTGAGTTGGGACTCCATTGGCCATCCAGTCCAACCCCAGTCACTCCTGCCAAGCAGGAAGACACAATGCCACCTCTCCCCAACAGGTGACCATCAAACTCTGCTTGATAATAACAATAACAATAATGGAACCCTTGGGTTGGAAGGGACTCCAATGGCCATCCAGTCCAACCCCACTCACTCCTGCCAGGCAGAAAGACACAATACAAGCTCTCCCAACAGGTGTCCATCCACCTCAGGCCTGCCAGGCTTCTGCAGCTCCCTTCCCCTCTTCTCCAGACGTGGGAAGGATACTGGGCTGGAGTGCATGGATGGGAGGTGGGGTGGGAGGAGGGGGTGGGAGGCAGCAAAGAGCAGGGAAAGGGGCAGCGGGCGTGGGGGCAGCAGGAAAGGTCCCCCCCATCTGCTCCCGCCCCACCTACCGCCTCCCTTGCCATTCCTGAGTGGTGCAGCCTGAGGAGGAGGAGGAGGAAGAGGAAGGGTGGGGAGGAGAAGCGCAGGCCACGTTGCCACAGAGACTGGCTGGGAGTGGTGGCCCGCTGGGCTGTTCCCGCTACTGCTGGCGGCCTTCTGCTGGCTCCACCTCAAGCCACTCCGGGCTTGAGGTGGAGCCAGCATCATGCTGGCGGCGGCAAAGCCAGCACCAGGCTGGCAACAGTGGAGCAGCACTAGGCCGGCGATGGCAGCGGGGACAGCCCAGCGGGCCACCACTCTCAGCCAGTCTCCGTGGCAATGTGGCCTGTGCTCCTCCTCCCCGCCCCCTCCCTTTTCTTCCTCCTCCTCCCCCCTCCTCCTCCTCAGGCTGTACTGCTCGGGGATGGTGAGGGAGGCAGGCAGTTACCTACCCGTTGGAGTAGGGTGCCCGAAGCAGAGACCAAAGGGACGTATAAGTACAGTATTTTCCGGTGTATAAGATGACTCCCCATGTTGGGGATGATTTTCCTTGGTTACAAAAATGTCTTATACGCCGGAAAATACAGTACTCAAAAATGCAATCAAGTTATAACACAGAGCAAAAAAACCCCTGTTTAACAGTCAAAGGTTGTTTAGTCAAATGTGAATTAGTCTTTCTCAATGAGAAGACTTATAAGGCCCTTGGATGAGATTGAGCACCATCCACTATGAAGGCCTTTTTTGATATGGGTCATTAAGCACTGATTGCTAAATTAGCAGAAAAAAGATTTATGGTTTCAATTTCTATTAAAGAGCTGATCAGCAGATTTTCACACAAAAAGCAGCCGGCGGGCTTGACAGAATTTAGCTCCACCAAGAAGCTTTGCTGTCCCACCCTTTTGATTACCATGACAACTGCTAGTTTAAAGGCCCATGGTTAATTCCTTTAATCACTACCTTAATCTGGGAAAATAATTTAGTGACCAGAACGATCCTCCACCTTGTAAGACAGCTGCCTCATTTCCCTTCCTTACAGAGCTCTGCCAGAGAAGTGGCATCAAACCTCTATCTTTTTCAGAAGTCTGATTAATTTAAAATTTCAATGATCATATTCCGATGCCCATATTAACAACACAGTGATAAAAGCTCTCTTCATGATTTCTCAAAAAACAAATAATATTGGGAAATACCAAAATATCAAAAAGTGAACATCTACATAACACTCACCAAATTTCTTTGTAGTAAATGTAAAAGCAGGACCACTTTTTCCTCCTTTTTCTGTGTATGCTGCCATCTCTACGGTATATAAAGTGTCTTTTGACAAGTCAGACAGTGGGTACTCAGTTTCAGAAGCGTTCACTCTCACAACTAGAAATGAAATTTTTCCATCAATTAGATTTATGTTACTCCACTTTTGTGGACACTTCTCTTATATTAAATCTGCAAAACTTGAAATAGTTCTTACATAGTAAAATTTAATAATTCTCATAACACACATACAAAAAACCACAAAAATATCAATCTGGTAAGATATTGCTATAGTTCAACCTGGATTTATCATTCTTAATTAAACAGCAACACTGCTAAATTTTCTACTGTTTCAGTGTGCAATGACATGTGAACTATCCTGCAAAAACATGTTATGTTTATGAATAAAGACCGAGCCCTTTGTGGCATGAAATCTTCCCAGTCATCAAAAATGGAAGTAAAAACAGAAGTCTAAATTAACACAACACAAAATGCTTAAACACTCACCTATCAGATTATTCCAGTTTCAAAATAATTTATATTGGAACTATTCAGAATACATCTATTTTGTTTATAGTTTTTGCTATTTCTGCTACTGGACATATAACAAATGGAAGGATGAATACCCAAGGAAGAATACAGTTGTGTGGCCCAAGCTTGCAGTAATACCATAAGGAAAACTATAACTCAAAATGAGACGACACTGGCTAAGAAACCAGGAAGCAAGAAGAAAGTGTATCAAATATGTTCAAAGTGAGAGAATGACCAAGGAAATGATTGGATCACTGCTCAACAGAACATTACAATGCTATCAGATCACAATGAAAAGGCAGAACTAATCAACCTATATTTTTCTTCATCGTCCCCCCCCCCCCCCCCCCCCCCCCGCGCCCCAATCCCAGAGTACTGAAGGAACTTGCTGAAGTGAAAGAAATTGGGAGGGATGGCCAACACATTGGAAGATAGCAACAACCTAAAAATTGGGCAAAAATGAAATTCAATAGTGACAAATGGAAAATTCTACATTTAGCCCACAAAAACCAAATGCAGTTAAATAATATGAAGTGAAAAAGAACTTAGGAAGACTATTGACCATAAATTGAATATAAGCCAGCTGTGTGATGTAGCAGAAAAGAAGGTGAATGTATTTTCATCTGCATTACAAGAAGTCTACAGTATGATCCATCTGTCTATAGGAATATGTACCAGGACTTCGTAAGGATACACAAAATTACAGACAACAGGGAACCCTTCTGAAACAAAGGAATTATGGACCAAGAACTATAGAGTTGTGCTAGAGCAAGGGCTTCTTAAATGGTGGGTCCCAACCCCAAATGGGGTCCTGTTAGCTCAATGTTGTGGTCCTGATTTTTTTCTAAATATCACATAGGCTGTTTCAGACATCTACATGAATTATTTGTGCAGTGTTTAGTGAACTCTGCAGAAAATGCTTCAGCTATAATTCATAAAAAGGAAAATCGATGTGTTTAGCAAGCATTGTAAATGATGATTTGTAAATGTTTATTTTTCATCTATTTTATATGCGATATCTATGTGATACATGGTGTCACAAAAATATTTATCAGCCAAAAGGGGTCCTGAGTGGAAATGTTTTAGAAGCACTGTGCTAGAGGACAAATAAAATGCCAAGGGAGACTATATTTGTTGGGCATGGATAAATGAAACTCTGGATAGTAGTGCCATGGATATGGGGGCTGCACTGTACATTTCCACTTGAAGGGAATAATCTCACTATATTCTTTGCTAGTGATGCCTCATCTGTAGTATTGCATTCAATTCTTGGGGTTCACTTAAGAGAGATATAGACATGTTGGAGTGGATTCAGAAGAGGGTAGAAACAGCTGTTGTTTTTGAAACAAAAATGCTGCAGACTTAATTGCTCAGTGTCTCAGTTTACAACACCTTGGGAACCCTTTAGTTGGGATGCTGCCAAGCTGAAAAGGTAGGTATTGAGAAGATAGTGTGGTCAATAACAACACTAGAGTTCTACCACATTGGACAATGCAGGATAGCGGCTGCCTGTGCTCTTTTTTGTTGAATACTTATTGATATATTTATGACAAATTATACAAAGTTGTCCCACTTGTGAAGCAGTTGTTTCTTGTGTGCAAAGATTTCTGGCTCTTCAGATTTATGTTATGTCTCGTTATTTTACTGATAAATATAAAAGGCTTTATTTACATTACTGTCTTTTTTGATCTGCTGGTTATAATTTTTGGGCCAGAATTTTGTTTTGTTTTGCTATCAGCAGAAACTCACATAAGGCATACTGTGTTTCTCATGTGATAAGATAATCATACTTTGGAGGGCACTTTATTCACATTTTCATCATCCCCAAAAAGTGATAATTCTCAGTGGCTGGAGGAAGTTAAATTTCATTTGGCACTAAAACACCCAGTGTCTCTGGGCTTGAAAAAAATGGTTTCTCAACAGATACAAAATTCTGATAAGTGTCCAGGAATATGTCCAAGCAAAACTGTTTTTAGGATATTATACACACTTTGTGACATATAGGAGTAAGAATAATTATTGTAATAAAAGTAACAATATATCAGAACATATGATGCTACTGCTAACATAACTGCTGATAAAATAAACTCTAGAGTCAGTAACTTCCTAGTAAACTTTAAAAAAAGGCTTTTTTGTATAGCATGCAATAAACACTACTGAAAAGATGATTAGCAAGACATGATTACCTGTTTCATTTTCAGTCGCTGTTTTATAAGATATTGTGTAGAATTTGATGAACCCATTTCGCTCTTCAAATGAAAGAGGTTTCCATTCTAAAAGTACTTCAGATTTTCCAACTTTCTTAGTTCGAACTGTGGGTCCATTAGCAGGTACTATTAAAAAAAATTAAGTTTTCTTAATAGCAGCTCTTGGCAAATGTTCATCTCTTTCAGCTCTTCCACAAAATGGTGAGTGTGTAAGCAAGGAACTATAAACACTCTGAATCAATACACTTTACTGCAACACAAAGAGCAGGCAATCTGAATATGAATTAACATTACCATCTTGTTGAAGGTAGGCTTGTGTTGATCTTTCTTCTCCTTGGCCATTAGAATACAATGGATATACAGTTATCTTGTAACATTTGAACGGCTTTATGTCTCCTAAGAAAATAATGTAAGGAGTCAGAATTATAGTTATGTTCATCTCTCAATTGAACAACACTGTTATATGTTTTGAACATGTTATTTTGAATCAGAGACATTTAGATTTTCTCAGTGTTGCATTTTCAAACATCTACCACCAATGCTTTAATAACCAAACAATGCAGACCATATATTTTGGCAGGGATGAGGGGTGTAAAACCCGAGAAACTGAAAAAACTACACATTTTAAAAAATCACTATTTTTGCCTGCAATAATGGTTCTCTAGGAATCTCTGCCTGTTCCAGTATGATTCTGTGGTCAACTTCTGGTGACCACAGAATTGCACTAGAGTATCTGGAAATTCCAGGTATGATTTTAGAGAGAATATATTCATCAAATCCACAAATCTGCAAAAGTTAAACAACAACAATGACCCTACTCAATTTACTGATGCCCAAATCCTGTTCCTAGTCACCACTGGAAAAAACCCCACTGAATCAGTGGAATTCATCTCTGTCTTGATTTGTCATTCCACAATAGATTCAATAAATCTACTCTAATTGGGATTAACAATAGCCTTCCAGTCTAAATCTGCTATAGTAAAGAGTTCAAAAATCCTCAGACTTTTACAACATTACAAGTCAAGGACTCATCAGTGGCAAAGAAGAGCATCAATTAAAGATATAATAAGAATCTGTAAACAGTTATTTAAAATAATTATAAAGCATATATTACATTTAAATATATTTGCAGCACATTTTATAAATACTTCAGTTCTTTTAAAGGAAAAAGCCCTAATACAACTATTGACTTTCTAAAAGAGTTCAACAATGAATAAAAGTTACCTTTTAAAAAAGTGCCATTTTTTGTTCTAGGCTCCTGTTGCCAGTCAGTAGAACAGTTCAAGCTGTCACACTCTTCATACCATTCAATTATGTATTTAATAACTTGATCTTTAGGAGCTGTCCAGTTTACCCACAACTTGTCATCTTTAGGAAATGCAATAATATTTTTCACAGGAGCTGAAATGACCAAGCCACCTTTATTAAGAAGACTCCAGAATTGTAACAACATTTTTGATTTCCAAAACAGAATTTAATAAAAAGGCTCAAAGCATTTTATTTAATTATAGTGCAAGTACCACTGTTGCAGAGCTTATCTACTCAATTATTATCTGGGAATTCTATAGCAACAAATCACTACAAAATACTGTAGCATTTTGGCAGGGAATTATAAAAAGATAGTTTTATACTTGTTTCCATTGTTAGATGGAATTACATTCACTAGATCAATTTTATCAGCTTTTTTTACCCCGAAGGAACACTTGAAATAATTTTCAGGACTCAGGAAAATCCCAGATTACATTATTTTATCTATATCCACCCAAAATGTTATTTTTTTTCAACCACAATCCTTCAAGGAATCTCTAGCAACCTCTTGTGGAATCTCGGGGTTCTGGAGGACCCTGGCTGAGAAACCTTGCAATAGAGAAAGGCTAAAAGCTATTTATTCCATAAGGTTTTTTTAAAAAGAAGTTCGTCATGAAGTCAGGGTGCTCTGGTTTTAGCTATGAATAAGTTTTAAATCAGTTTTAAGACTTTTTAACATGGTTAATATTTAATTCTATTTTAATGTTTGTATATTTTTATGTTTAAAATTGTGTTGTATGGGTTTTACTGTAAGCAGTTTAAAGCCTCTTTTTAAAGAAAAAGTAGGGTATAAATAATAATAATAATAATAATAATAATAATAATAATAATTCAGTTCTAATACTGACTTCTGTAGCATAAACAACAATCACAGTTGAGATCCTACACTGGAGTTGCATAATGTAAAACCCTGCAAAGTAGACTGTACTATGCAGTCCTTGCACAATTGAACATACACATTAATGTGGAGCTGAATACACATCTGTAAATCCAAATGGCACAACATGCACAACTCAGATTCTGCAATCTTGAACAGGACTTGGAAATTGTCCCAAATACTTCCACAAGGAAACCTATACATTTATAAGATTCTGATCTGTGTTGTCATGGAAGTTTTTCAGCATTGTCTCTTTGTTATGGTATTAACATAAGCTAGATTTACAGTTAATCTGCACACACAGTTGCTTCTACTTCTGTTAAAACCCAGAGGAGTTTAGGTATTGGTTGGAATTAATACAAATAGATCACAGCTTCCCAAGCTATCTGATGTGGAGGACTGGCAATGTTTTTCCCCCCAATGAGGTAGGGACTGGTGCCACGTTTTAGTCCATTGCATACTTTCTTTATTAGAAACTTGCTAGGGACCAGTAGCCAACAGCTCCGGAACTGATATCAGTCTAGGGCGGTGGTTCTTAGCCTGTGGGTCCCCAGATGTTTTAGCCTTCAACTCCCAGAAATCCTAACAGCTGGTCAACTGGCTGGGATTTCTAGGAGTTGTAGGCCAAAACACCTGGGGACCCACAGGTTGAAAAACACTGGTCTAGGGACCACCACTTCAGAATGCATTGATTTAGAACATCAGGATATCAAATACACAGCTGGATTGAGAAGAAAAACTGGGACCTCTGTAATCCAGTATAATGCAGTAAGCCTTAAAAACAAAAACTACAGAAAATGTCACTAACATGCGAAGAAGTTAGTAGACTGGATTTCATAGAATCATAGAATCAAAGAATTGGAAGAGACCTCATGGGCCATCCAGTCCAACCCCCTGTCAAGAAGCAGGAATATTGCATTCAAATCACCCCTGACAGATGGCCATCCAGCCTCTGTTTAAAAGCTTCCAAAGAAGGAGCCTCCACCACACTCCGGGGCAGAGAGTTCCACTGCTGAACGGCTCTCACAGTCAGGAAGTTCTTCCTCATGTTCAGAGGGAATCTCCTTTCTTGTAGTTTGAAGCCATTGTTCCACGTCCTAGTCTCCAAGGAAGCAGATAACAAGCTTGCTCCCTCCTCCCTGTGGCTTCCTCTCACATATTTATACATGGCTATCATAGCTCTCCTCAGCCTTCTCTTCTTCAGGCTAAACATGCCCAGCTCCTTAAGCCGCTCCTCATAGGGCTTGTTCTCCAGACCCTTGATCATTTTAGTCGCCCTCCTCTGGACACATTCCAGCTTGTCAATATCTCTCTTGAATTGTGGTGCCCAGAATTGGACACAATATTCCAGGTGTGGTCTAACCAAAGCAGAATAGAGGGGTAGCATTACTTACCTAGATCTAGACACTATGCTCCTATTGATGCAGGCCAAAATCCCATTGGCTTTTTTTGCCGCCACATCACATTGTTGGCTCATGTTTAACTTGTTGTCCACAAGGACTCCAAGATCTTTTTCACACGTACTGCTCTTGAGCCAGGCATTGTCCCCCATTCTGTATCTTTGCATTTCATTTTTTCTGCCTAAGTGGAGTATCTTGCATTTGTCACTGTTGAACTTCATTTTGTTAGTTTTGGCCCATCTCTCTCTAATCTGTCAAGATCGTTTTGAATCCTGCTCCTGTCCTCTGGAGTCTTGGCTCTCCATCCCAATTTGGTGTTGTCTGCAAACTTGATGATCCTGCCTTCTAGCCCTTCATCTAAGTCATTAATAAATGTATTGTCGAAGGCTTTCATGGCCGGAATCACTCAGTTCTTGTGGGTTTTTTCGGGCTATATGGCCATGTTCTAGAGGCATTTCTCCTGACGTTTCGCCTGCATCTATGGCAAGCTTCCTCAGAGGAAGATGTTGAACAGGACTGGGCCCAGGATGGGACCCTGCGGCACTCCGCTTGTCACTTCTTTCCAAGATTAAGAGGAAGCATTGGTGAGCACCCTCTGGGTTCGTCCATTTAACCAATTACAGATCCACCTCACTGTAGTTTTGCCTAACCCACATTGGACTAGTTTGTCTGCCAGGTCATGGGGGACCTTTTCGAAGACCTTACTGAAATCCAGGTATGCTTTTCTTTCTGTGAGAAGACTGAGGCAAAGAAGGCATTAAGTAGTTCTGCCTTTTCCCTATGCCCTGTCAGCATTGCCCCATCTTCTCCTCGAAGAGGCCCTATTGCCTCCTTGTTTTTCCTTTTTCTACTGACATAAGAAAAGAAGCCCTTTTTTATTGTTTTTAATGTCCCTGGCAAGCCTGCGTTTTGTGCTTTAGCCTTGCGGACCTTTTCCCTACAGATGTTGGCTATTTGTTTGAATTCTTCTTTGGTGATTTCTCCCTTTTTCCACTTCTTGTGCATGTCTCTTTTGTGTCTTAGCACAGTTAGAAGTTCTTTGGACATCCATTCTGGCTTCTTTGCACTTGTCCTATTTTTTCTCTTTGTTGGCACGGTTTGCAATGCGCCTTGAGTATTTCACTCTTGAGAAACTCCCATCCATCCGTAACTCCCTTGTCTTTTAGTATCTGTGTCCACGGAATGCTGTTCAGTGTTTCCTTCATTTTTTGGAAATCAGCTCTTCTAAAGTCCAAAATGCGGGTTTTGGCCTTCCTTTGTACCTCAAATTGCAGGAGCACATGGTCACTTGCCCCTAAGGATCCGACCACTTCAACCGCATCGATCAGGTCCTCTGAATTTGTTAGGATGAGATCAAGATTAGCCAACCCCCTTGTTGCTTCTTCTACCTTCTGGACCATGAAATTGTCTGCAAGGCAAGCGAGGAATTTGTTTCCATGCTAGCATTGCCTAAAGATCTTTCTTAGTGGGAAGACATCTACATTTTAAAATCTTCTTTCCAAAAGGAGGGATAAGATAATCTCTACTTCCTCAACTAGCTGATTATGTTTACGCAGCCTTCTTTGCTTGGTAGTTAGAAAAGAAATATAATACTCCTTCACTCCTTATTCCCCATATATGCCTTCACATACACGCGTGCGCGCGCGCACACACACACACAAACAGAATTCCAGGTTGCTAATGTCTTCCATGTGAGTTACTGATACAGTACACTGAACAATATAAAGCCCAATATTCAGCAAACAAATCAGTGTTGACAGCACCATAGTATTAGCACCGTAATATTAAAACTAGAATCATCTGATAGAAGGAAGGGTAATTTATACATGCTCCTTACCTTTTGAGTTTGTTGCTGGTATAAGTAAAACTGTTGGAGGAGATTTCCCAGCTTTGTTGTATGCTGTAACCTTTGCTTCATACACCCCACTTTTCCCACTTAGAATCAGCTTTGTCTCTGTGGTATTCAAGTGAGTTACCTCAATTGGAAAAGAAAGTGGTTGCCTTCTTGAGACAGTCACTTCATACATCAAAATTATTCCATTGGTTTCTGAAGGATTCATCTACACAAAAATAGAGTTGCTTTATTTGAGGTGAATGTATGAGCATCTAAAGTTTATTTATGCAGTCACATTGTTGATTTATTTAACCCAACAATGAACAATCTAAACTAACAGCAGCTCACATGGTCTAAGGGAGAGATGTTTTTCAGAATTAATCGTTTTCACAACTAGGGCTTGAATGGATCTGAGACTGAACAAAGACTAAACCCAAAACCTCTGTTGGCAAAACATGAGCTTAACTACTGAGCTCATGGGCCAAGCCAAAAGCGTTCTGTAAGATGAAACTCCCTCACAGCATTATTAGGGAAATAATACATGGTTCTGTGCAAATTGGAAGTAACAAGTAATTAGACCTAAAGATTGAGAAAAAAGCAATACAAAAGTACTTGGAAGTCTCTAGTACACTCTATTCTCAAAATTAGAATTATAATGTCAATACAGATTTCTCCTACATACAAAGAGGCCTCCCTCTTGTTCACAATTTATATATTTTATCAATAAATTTGAGTTACATTCGTAAAAATGAGGCTGGGAGAAGTGTGAACATTTGACATTATTGGAAAATTAGTTGTGATCAGAAAATAGTTAACAAATTCTTAAATACAATGTATCGGAGACCAAATTACCCATACTCATAGCTTTTTGTCCAAATAACTACTTTTATAATTCAAGGCAGAATTTTGAGCAGTCATTCCCAACCCGTGGTCCGTGGACTAGCAGTGGTCCACAAGAACTAAAATATGGTCCAAGGCCTTACCGTTACTACTACGGATAATAACAGTGCCCAATCCAAAAAAATGTTTTCTTGGTCTTCGTCTTTAGGCCTGTTTCTGGGATTATTTGGGGTACTGATTCAGAAAATTGCATTTGATTGACCACATCAGCTCTAGATTATTAAATACTAGCTTGAGTACCCAGTGATGCCTGGGTTACTTGAGAAAGACATAGTTTGTTTTGAGAAGCTTGGTAATATCTCTGGATGCAGGGTGAAGTACAACTCCCGCATGTGTGGGTCATCCCCCCCTCCCCGAAACCCCTCCAATATGTTACGTTGGCCTGGGTTATTTGAAAAAGGAACTATTTGTTTTGGGGTGTTAGGTAATATCAGTTTGGTAATTTGTAGCTCTATTTCTTTGAAAAAAGCCAGTCTTTCCTGTTGTTTTTTTATGAATGCTCCAATTAGAAAATGCATAAGGATGTAGGTGAACTGCAATTCGCAAAATCGTGGGTCAATCACCCCAAACCCCACCAGTATTCAAAGTTGGCCATGTTGGGTCTGTATGCCAGGTTCGGTGCAGATCCATAGTGGGCTGGGTTCTTACTTACTTACAAAATGAACACCCAAGCCCTTCAGGAGCCCTCCAGACGAACACATCTCCAAACAGCACTCAAGGACCATCTACCCACAATACACCCCGAAAATGTTGAGGAACATTGGAACAAACTGAAGACCTCCATCATCCAAGCCTGTGAAGATACTATTGGATATCAAACCAAGAAACATCAAGACTGGTTTGACGAAAATGACATCGAGATCCAACAGCTAATTGACAAGAAAAGGAAAGCCTTCCAAACTTGGCAGAGAGACATCAACTGTGCTGCTAAGAAAAAGATCTACGCCAGTGCAAAAGCTGAGGTCCAAAGAAGGGTTCAGTGCTCTCTGGGTAAGGGTGAACTACAACTCCCAGAACCAAGGACAATCACCCCCAAAGCAGACCTGTATGCACAGTTGGCCATGTTGGGTCAGTGTGCCAAGGGTGATCCAGGTGTGACATCATCTGGGTTCAGGGCTCTCTGGATAAGGGTGAACTACAACTCCCAGAACCAAGGTCATTCACCCCCAAATCCTGCTTGTATGCACAGTTGGACATGTTGGGTGTGTGCCAAGTTTAGTGCAGATCTGACATTGGCTGGGCTCAGTGCTTTCTGGATAAGGGTGAACTACAACTTCCAACATCGTCCATTCCCCCAAACTCCTGCAGTATGTTCAGTTGGTCATGGGGCTTTTATGTGCCATGTTTTATCCTGGTCCATTGTTGGTGGAGGTCACAGTTTCTCTGGATGCAGGTGAACTATAACTCCCGTGAAGGTCAATTTCCCCCAAACATCTCCAGTATGTTCTCTTGGTCATGGGAGTCTTTGTGCCAAGTTTGGTCCAGGTCCGTCATTCGTGGGGGTTGCAGTGGGCTGTGGGAGGCAAATCGGGTGAAGGTACTGCAGATCCCATTATCTGTGGTCCATCCTCCTCCAAACTGCACCAGGACATATAGTGGGTCATGGGAGGTCTGTGCGCCAAATGTGGTCCAGCTCCGTCATTCATGGGGGGTTGCAGTGGTCTCTCAAACTGAGTGAAGGTACTGCAAATCTCATCATCCATGGCAAGTGTTGTCCAAATCCATCGCTGGTTGGGTTCTCTGGATGTAGGTAAACTACAACTCCTCTAAATCATGGTGAATTCTTCCCAAACCTCTTGTTCAGTTGCTGATCAATTCCTGTTTGCTGTGTGCCATGGGTAGGAAAGGGTTAAGTGAGAGGCAGTGGGTTAGGGTCATGCAAATTTGGAGAGAAAAAGGAACCCTGGAATGTCCATTCTGGAGAAACAACAGAACATCTAGGATGAAATGATCCCTGAATGAAAGCATTATTTGGGTGTTTGGTGTTTGGCAGCGGTTGGGCTACATGTTCACGGCACTCACTATAACCTGCAATGTCAGTTGAGGGGGTGCCTTTGGAGGCTTCTCAGCACTTGGAACTATAGCCTGTTTGTGGAGGCAGGGAGGCTGTCTGTGTAAGTGGACACCTCCACCACATACACACATTTTTACTTTTATTATGTGTATGGATGGTAATCTGTGGATGAGAAGATGGCGACTACTGGATGGCCTATGTTCTGTATCAGAAACTAAAGCTGATGTGGTCTATCCAATGCATTTTTCTGAAACAGCACCCCAAATAACCAAACCGAATCTAAAGTTGACCAAAACCTGATTCGTAACCCTTTTGGTACTACTATTGGAGAGTACTCCTGGTCAAAGTGGTCCATAGTAAAAAAAAAAGAAAAAAAAAGGTTGGGAACCACTGATTTAGAGTATCCTAAATTTGTCAAGATACAGAAATTGCAGAGAAAACAAAGAGCAGAAGCTTATTCATGCCTCCGTTAACAGTCACTGCAAATACGTCTTAACAATGGATATACCTATAATACAAGCAAACTGTTATCTATGTCTGGTACTATTCCCATAAATACAATCTCATAAGACTGATGTTGCTTTGAAGTTTAACTAAATAAACTATAATGGTCTATGGTCAATCTCAATGTTTATTTATATTATTTTCCTTGTGTTTTATTATAATAACTATGCATTATATGATAGATCTCACCGAGATCCGTCTGTTGAGTTTACTGATGGACTAATAGAATGTAAGCCCCACTTTTTTCTTTAATGGATCCAAAGTGAAGATATCATTTTGTTCCAGAAGAATAAATTGCAACAGTTATAACTGACCCTTTTAATCTCATGACCTAATAACTGTGATGTACAATTCTGAAGCATCATTCTGTAAGCCAAGTGCAGTATGCTTGTACTGAAAGGTATATCATGGATTAATTTATATTTCTTTAAGCAAGAATTCATTTAGTGCACATAAATGCCTGGTTAAACTCATGGGTACTAATCTGGAGTAAACATCAGCAAACCTTTTATTACAACTAGCTTTTGGGGGGCTGCAGCCAAAAGTTGAGGCACCCCCTCAATGTACTCCCTCCTCCCTGTCCCTGATCTAAGGGTACAGGCAATTTAATATAAGAGAAACACATACCCTTCAATTACCGGCCACATGATATCTTAGAAAATACAGAAGCAACAACAAAAAAAGAGAAAATACTAGACTCCCTTTTTCCACATAGGTGAATATTACACATGCAAGTCCTTTATGTTGTTTTTTAACTCTTGCAATTATATTAAATGCAATGTCTTGTGCAAGAAACTGTACCCAAGGTTTGTTTGTTATCTGCTCCACTAATGCTATGTGTGATAATGTGACTGTGCTAACAAGAGTGACCTGTGTCCAATGTATCTATGAAAAAAATCTGGAAGCTAGATATTTGAGCAGGCAATGTTTTGATAGTATTTACCTTCCAATTCAGTTCCAGAGTCCAATTTCCTGAAGAGTGGGTAGTAATCTTCCGCCAAACAGCTGGTCCATTGGAGGGTTCTGATAAATCAAAAAACAAATTATGTAAGACTCAGCAGCTTCATTTATATGACTGCTAAGGATGATGTGCTATGTTAAAAATGACTCATTCCTCTGCCCTCATAAGGGTTTTATTTCAGTGATTGCTCAGGTATAAAGCCAGGTGTCATATAGGTGTTTTTACACCTTCCTTTAACAGGTAGAATCAAATATAGCTGAACAAAAATATTGAAAACCATTATATATCTTCCACAACTCCAGCGTTCCACAATTCTGTAGTCCAGGTAGTCTTCAGCTCTCATAAGCTATGCATTTTACATGTCCCCTTCCTTTAGTGTAGTGAAAAATCAATGCCCTCTTTGCCACAGTATGTATTCAAGTAAAATCCTATCTTTATTAGCAAAGTTCATGGGAAACTATCTACATGTAAAAGCGGTTTAAACACACTTTTTAAAGAAATGATTATTATGCTTCTGTGTTCCTTATGGCTTCAATATGTATACCTGACAACTCCCTTACTCCAAATTGATAAAACTAATTTTTGATAAACAGAGATTGAATGTTACTTGGCCTCAAGATTTCTTATGGAAATATTTTTCCATGACCATCGCGCCTTTTCCCCCAGTTTGGGACTCAAAGCAGTTTAGGTAAAGGTTTCCCCTGACATTAAGTCTAGTCATGTCTGACTCTGAGGGGTGGTGCTCATCTCCATTTTTAAGCTGAAGAACTGACATTGTCCGTAGACACCTCCAAGGTCATGTGGCCAGCATGACTGCCTAGAGCGCCGTTACCTTCTTGTCAAGGCGGTGCCTATTGATCTAGTCACATCTGCATGTATTTGAACTACTAGGTTGGCAGAAGCTGGGCCTAACAGCACTGCGCTTCCTAGATTCGAACTGCTAACCTTTTGGTCAGCAAGTTCAGCAACTCAGCGGTTTAACCCACTGCATCACCAGGTGGCCCTCAAAGCGGTTTACAACAGAAATAGCTAGCTAGCTAGCTAGATAAAAAAAACTAAAATAGATCAAAATCAGTTATTCTTACTGTCTTCAGCAGTAAATCCAATGATTTCTTTACTCCAGTCACTCCAATAAGGTGACACCCCTTTAACAGCACAAGCGATCTGAAAAATGTATTTTGTAAATGGCTGGAGATCCTGGATAGTGAAGGAAGTTCTTTCTGACTCTGTGTCCTCAGGAGGAACCTGGAAGAATGAAAGTGAACTTCAAGAAATGCTACCAGTGAGTTATCAAGGTACAGGAGCAGACAGGTATATGTGCATATTTAAGTTCCAATACTACTATCAGTTATTTTTCTGACATACCCTTTATTATATATATATACTTCAAGTATATGCTTGATGTGCACAATTATTTCATTATAACTGTTAACACTGTGCAACCTCCATATGTGCAGGATAAGTATTCTCACTACATTTCTTAGGTCCCCACCATGACTCTAGAACAGGGGTCCTCAAACTAAGGCCTGGGGGCCGGATGCGGCCCTCCAAGGTCATTTACCTGGCCCTCACTCAGGGTCAACTTAAATCTGAAATTACTTGAAAGCACACAACAACAACAACAACAACAACAACAACAACCCTATCTCATTAGCCAAAAGCAGGCCCCCACTTCCCATTGAAATACTAATAAGTTTATATTAGTTAAAATTGTTCTTCATTTTAATTGTTGTATTGTTTATTTGTTGTTGGGGTTTTTTTTGCACCACAGATAAGATATGTACAATGTGCAAAGGAATTCATTCTTTCCTTTTTTTCAAATTATAATCCGGCCCTCCAACAGTTTGAGGGACTGTGACCTGGCCCTCTGTTTAAAAAGTCTGAGGACCCCTGCTCTAGAAGTTCAGGAGCATATCCCCCTCTGACAAAGTTCATACTGCATGTTTATTTTAAAGTCTCTTTAAGAATATTTTTGACCTTACTTTTCTCTCTAGCCTCGCAGACTAGCCTCTGTGCCTGAAGCGGAAGAGATGGCTGGAGGGAGGTTAGGAAGCACAATGTCTGAAAGCAACCCTACATTCCCCTCTTCCTGCCTTCAGGCAAGCAGAAGTGTCTGCAAGACTGTTCCAGCAGCCTGGTCTTGCATTCTGCTTTTCTACTTAGTTGGGCAGGCTAGCCATTCCACACCTGAAGGTGAAGAGATTGCTGGTAATCAAATCTGCAAACACCAATGATGTGAATGCGGAGGGCCGACTGCATATGCAAATGTTCCAACTGTTAAAATGCAGACAACTGCAACATTACAAATCCCGACTATTGACAAACAACAAACATAAGATTACCTCTGCCCAATTTGTGTTGCTGGCAGATTTATATCTTATTTTGTATTTCAGCCTCAGTGGTACTTCAATAAACTGGTTTTCCCATGATAGTCTCAGAACTGTAGGAAATTCTCTTGAGTTGAGAAATAGATTATGTGGGGGAAGGGGTTTTACTGGAAAAAAGAAAAAGAAGAAAACATACTCAATTAACCAGAAACTGCCAGATAATTCTAATATTCATATACACATAATTTTTTTCAGTTCATGGATGGGGATGAGGTATATAACAATCCAGAAATACTCCTGTTGCTCTGGATGATCATCACTGAGTGAAATAGCAGATGGTGCTAGTTTCTGAGTTCATAGACTCCGAGTCAGTGGTTCTCAACCTGTAGGTCCCCAGGTGTTTTGGCCTACAATTCCCAGAAATCTCAGCCAGTTTACTAGCTGTTAGGATTTCTGGGAGTTGAAGGCCAAAACATCTGGGGACCCACAGCTGCTCTAAGTGAAAAGGTACCCATGAGGGTTGGTAGATGCTGGATTAATGTAGTTTCTGGTTGCTTGAGAGTTGCTATTAAAAACAGGCCTAACTAATACTATACTCCATACTATGCCATACCATAAACTTTGTATGGACTTGATATTAATAGTGAAATAGAATAATTAAATACAAATAAAGAGAAGTTTTGATTTCTTCCATTTTTGGCTATTTACTTAATTCTGGTCAACTGTACAATCAGTAGTAGCAGATATATATAATTTGTAGTGGCCATGGACAACATCTAAGAATTGGAGAGACAGCAGAACTTTAAAGCCAATGTTTTCATTTTAAAAACATGAATGTTTTAAAAATGCATGCTTATGTTTATATTTTACTTTTAAAAAACCCCAAGAATGTTGTATTTGGGCTATCTTGGGCTGTAATAGTTTCAGGAGATGCTTTCATTTAACCAGGAAGTAAACTAGAGCTTGAGTTTTCTTTAAAAAAAAAAAACTCAACAAGCTCAGAATGGCCCTGAGGGTCTAAATTAAAAAATTGCCTAGGCAAGCTGCATGAGGCCTAAAGGCTGCATTTTAACAAGCCCTGATTTGCAGAGATTATTTTCTCTAAGGCCATTTTAAAAAGGTGACATATGAGACGTTTTTAGGGACTGACTCAAGTGTAATCAGACAATTAACAGTAACAGACCATAATCAACACCCAACTCATGCATAAGTCAACCTCATCCTTAAGTCAAGTGCAGATTTTGGGGCCAAAATTATGGGTTTTGATATGACCCAGTGATAAATCAAGGGTTGTTCTGTGGACAGGGGAGAGTGTCACCTAGGCATTCAAAAAATCCAGAAGTGACATCGTGATGGACAGAGTAAATAACAACTAATCTTTTGGGAGGTTTTCCCAGGACAGCGTAAACTCCTGCCTGCTGTTATTCTAAACTTATACATGTGTATAACAATAAGTAAAATGTAAGCTTTTACCAATTCTAGTTTATTATTATTTAACACTGAAAGAGTGGATTCATTCAGACCATTCTTTCCATTTTTTGTTCTGCATATGAACATAACAACTGTTTATAATTTTGAAGTATCAATTGATTGAAATCTTTTTCACTTTTCCACAGACAGATATCTAGGTATCAAATATAAGAACACTTAAGTACAGGAATCACAAACAAAAGAAGGCATCCTCGGTAGAATGACTAATCTCCTATTCCTCATTTTATATTGTTACATCTTTAATATCTAGATCCTTGAGAATTAGCTCGGCTATAGGTTCCAATGTTAGGGCAAATGTACTTATTAGTGTTAAATTTAACTTTGTGGTACGGAGGACAACATATCAGAACTTTTAGGGTTCCAATAGTGACAATGTTTGTCCATTTGAATCCAGGATATCACATCACAATTAAAGGCGTGATCCACATTCAAATGGCAATTGTTGTTAAACCAATGCTGCTAGCACATGTAGCTGAAAAGACAAAGCACTAACTTTTCCAGAAATATATCTGCAGTATAAGCTGCCTAAAGTAAATGCTTATACCAAAAAAAGAAGTCTTAACACTAGGAAAATTGTGAACCAGTAAGGTAAAAGGGGTAACTTATGGCTTTCTGCTCACCAGACGCTACATGTCTGCAGCTGTAAAAGGGGAAAGTGGAGCAGAGAAAAGTTATGCCCACAACAAGTAGATTCACCTAATGCCCTGTCAGCAGAGCTAGTCATCTTTCACACAAGGTTGGAACTGTGAGCTGTTTAGTCTACTCACAGATTTTCACTGTGAATTAAAATATATGGTCAGACAAATGGGGAGGGGGGGGGACTGAAATGCCAGTGGTATGCAAAGTCATGTGATAAGCAGCTGATCCTGCACGAATATGCAACTCAACCCTCAAGTGATAATAGCCTAAGTTTATCAGTGCCTGTAGTCCTTTATGAGTTTGATTTAAGATTGTAATTTGTTTGTGGAGCATTATTATTATTCGCTATGTAAAATGGGCTGCAACATTCTTTAAATACATCACAGATTTCCCTTGAAATTTCTTTTCCATCTTTAATACTGTCAACTCATCTTTTTGATCCTTTTGTTTTTATCACCAGGCCAATAGAATGCTTGTTACCAAATTCATAATAGGACCTAGGTGTATATTGAAGAGCCTACCTAACCATAACCAATATAGAGTTTCCAATTCCACCCTCCTCTGGGACTATTCACTTTGAAACCTCACATTACCTGTTTAAGTTTCTTCAATAATTTTTCTATTTGCCTCTAGTTCATTTTAAGCCTCTCAAGAAGGATCCTTGCTGTTTTATCTGAGACCAACTTTTAAATAACCACAATATGGTTGCAGAATCAGATGCCCAATTTTCTTTATCAAATTTCTTTATGGGTTTCTTTTTAAAAATCAGCTCAAATTTAGCCTTCAAATCAGAATTTGAGGCTGCTTCATAGTGAAGGGGCAAGGAGTGGAAAATTTACTATTGTGCTTTTTTAAAATCTATAGAGATTAATTCTCTACCACCAATTGGCGAATAACTTTAAACTCATTCAATCTAAGCCACCTTCTCAGTTTGCTGCCAGGTGAAAGAAGTACTAGCTTTCAAAAGTGCATCAGCTGAGTAAGTAAACGCTGCAACTCTGAAATAAGGAACTCTCTCATCTTTTGTTTTAAATGATATCCATTCATCTTTATCCTAAACTTCGGCTTGCCTTTGTACACAAGTTAATTTATTTATATTTCTAACTCACTTCTCAACTGGAAGAAAACATTCTCAAAGCAACAAACTGGAAATAAATATATTTCTCCCTCTAATCTCCTACTCAAGTGATTCAAAACAGAAGCTACATCTAGTGTATTATGAAACCTTTACATTCATCTTCTAGAAAGAAAAGTAGCCAATTCATAAAAGTAGCTCTAGCAAATTCTATCAACATTAAATGAAATGGTCCAGTTACCATGGTCCTCAGGATAAAAGGTGAAGTGTGATGAGTTAACTTCCCCAAGGGAATTCTTGGCTTCCACCCACACAGACAGAGGGACAAAGAAAGTAACATCATCAGAAGTGGTGCAGGAGTTATTAACATCTTCAGGTATACAGTCAGAGAAATTCATGTTTGGCCTATTGTTAAAGATAAAAATCCATATTTAATCCAGTTTCAAATAGAGTATTAATTCTAGTATGTAAGTACATAGTTATACTAGAAAACTGAAGTGAATCCCAGAGAACTCAATGTCAACTACTCTTTTAAAAAGGTAAAGGTTGTCCCCTGACATTAAGTCCAGTCATGTCTGACTCTGGGGTGTGGTGCTCATCTCCATTTCTAAGCCGAAGAGCCGGCGCTGTCCATAGACACCTCCAATGTCATGTGGCCAGAATGACTGCATGGAGCGTTGTTACTTTCCCGCTGGAGCAGTACCTATTGATTTACTCACATTTGCATGTTTTCGAACTGCTAGGTTGACAGAAGCTAGGGCTTACAGCAGAAGCTCATGCCTCTCCCGGAATCGAACCTGCGACTTTTCGGTCAACAAGCTCAGCAGCTCAGCGCTTTAACTCACTGTGCCACCAGGGGCTCCATCAACTACTCATTACTAAGAGCAATTAACAACTTCAATTTTATTCCTGCAGTATTACAAGAAATAATTTGTGACTGTTAACTGCTACCTAGGATCTGTAGTTTAGTGAAGCTCTGGTAGAAGATACTACAAACCTTGTAAAACTACAACTCCTGTACCACCATAGCATTGAGATATAGCAGTTAATATGATGCCAAACTGCATTAATTATATATTATAGATGTGCCCAACTCAACTTGAACCTATGGTGACTTTATGAACAAAACACCTCAAAGACACCCTGTAATCAACAGCTCTGCTCAGGTTTTACAGACTCAAGACTGTGATTTCCTTGAGTCTATTCACCTGTAATGTAGTCTTTTTTTCCTACTGCCTTCAACCGTGTTGTCTGCTTTAACTTAGAATATATGAATCCCCACTACCAGATACTCTGGGATAAACAGAAAACCTGGGATCAGATCCTGGGATATGGGGCCTGTCTGGAAGGGCCCTTAGAGCAAATCAAGCTCAACTCTCCCTAGGTGACAAGATCACTAAACTTTGTGCATATCAATGAAGAGACAACACGGTAGAAGGCTGTCTGGAAGGCCCTAGGACTGATTGGTGTTTGTAGAAGTCCACAGTATCTGCAACTTCTGTCTTTGTACCACCTTTCAAAGAAATTGATTCTCCTCCTTTCAGTTTTCTTCACTATCCAGCTTTCACAACCATGCATAGAAATCAGAAGCACAATAGCAAGGACAATTCTGATTTTGGCATCTACAGATATATGTTTACACTCAAGGATCTTGTCCAGTCCTGGAACCACACTGCAGTTGTTAACAAGGGCTCACTGTATATCAAAAACACGATTGAATAAGAGCTTTTATTTAAAGTAGTTTTAAGATGTTTCCTGCAGTGGAACATATTTCAAACAAGCTTCTCCTCCCCGCCCCCTAAATCTCCAGCAATATTAGAAAGATCTATTTGTTGCAAGCTTCTTATGGAAGGATAGTGGCAAACCATGCAAATACAGCTATGTGGTAGTATAACTGGGAAACTAGCATGCTGAAAAGTGAAGCATCATCTCCATTCTTTTTATTTCCATAGCCATAAAAATTACATTGATTTAGGAAAGATCCTATGGCACTCACTCTGTCAATGAGAAATAGGGGCCAGAACAGGCCTTTTAACCTAGACATTTAGAAGTTTCGTTGATTTTGCTAATGAGTCCTGAGGCAGTCAACACAGAATACTAGAACCACAAGGCTGGAAGAAACCAGAAGGGATATTCAGTCCTATCTCTGCCATATAAAACCGCACAATTAAAAGCACTCACAACAGATGGCTACCCAGCCTGTTTCCAGAGAGGGAAACCACACCACACTCCAAGGCAGCATACTCCACTGTCGAATAGATCTGACAGGAAGTCCTTCAAGAGGTATTTTTATTTCACTGGGTTTATAAGAATCTTTCCAACAGTCATAGAGCTCTAACCATCAACTTAGCACAGAATTTTCCAAACTGTGTGTTGCAACAAACTAGTGTGACACTTATAGTCCCTAGGTGTGTTACATGAAAAAATGTGCTAAAACCACAGCACCTCCTGACTTGATGTTAATCTAGAACTGAACATGGTTAGAGCTAACCAACTGAAATCAATGGGTAGAAACTCATCAATAATGATTTACTTGCCTTGATTTTAAAGTCTGTTTGAAGCCTGATCAAATTAGGCATCAGCTCAGTGACTTGAAGCTGGTTAGGATATCAAACAGATTAGTTTAGGGCAGGGGGTTACCAAACCATGGCCCATGAGCCAAATCTGGCCTGCGAAGATCAATTTCTCTCTGGCCTCCACTGCCTCTGCCCCGCATGCAAATGGCTGATACATGTGGTGGCAGAGACAAGTGTGTGTGCATGACAGCGGGCATGGGGCATAGGAGGTGTGTGGAACTGCAGTCCAGCCGCCCCAACCATTTGAGAGACCGAGAACCGGTGCTCTACATCAAAGGCCATTTGTTGGGGGGTGCTTTGAATGTGATCTTCCTGCTTCTTGTGCAGTGGGTTGGACTGGACGGCCCAGAAGGCCCTTCCAACTCAATGATTCTATGAAAGGTTTGCAGATGTCTGGTGTAAAGAATCTTTGAAAGATTCATCTAAATGTGTGCATATTATTACACACACACACACAAATTAACAATGCATTTAAATGTCTTAAGACAGAGCTTTCAAAACTGTTGGTTGCCTGTAGTTCCTAGGTGAAAAATGCTCCACCACCACAAACAAAGATTTATTATTATCAAACTAAGGCTGCTTGGCAAGAGTACCAGGCAGTCTTTGCTAGTAAAACCGAGTTATTGTGTCACAAAAGGATGCATGTCTAAAAAGCGTGTCACTAACATGAAAAGTTTGGAGAACTCTGGCTTAGAGTGCTTGAAGGTTCTGCTTTCACAGAAAGTTCTGCTCTCACAGAAAGTTCTGCTTAAAGCTTGCTTAATATAGAACACCTAGAGGACCTTTCTGTTATGAGATAGCATACTTTTTTTGTAAATTAATAACCAAATAGTTACATATGCTTACCATGCTGATTTCAAAGTGTATTTAGTTTTCAAGTATGTATCCCTTCCAGGTTCCCAAGTGCACCTTTTAACAATTTTTTTCTTTTTGAGTTGAATCACAATACAACTGATGTTCTCAGGCTTGTCTGGAGGAACTGCAGCAAATATATTTTAATACTGTTAGAAATATACAAGCATCGATCTATCAGTATATTGAAAACATTCAAAGCTGTAGGCTGCCATTCTGCTCAGTATTTATAATGTCATAAGCCAGACTTACAATATTGTAATGACTGGAATTTATGTTTATAGTATTGCAACATTACACCAAGCAAAAGCGCAACCAGGCATCCACCATAACAGCTTGTCATATTGAGTCTTGCTGCTGGAGGAGGGCTGGATGCATCATTTCTCAATGCAACTTGCTGCAACAACACCAAAGTTCTTCTATTGGGAGCAATTGCCTTCAAACTTAGGGTTTTTTTTTGTAGCATAGCTATGAGGATAGAGCCCTTTCACTGTTATTAACAATGACAGCTACTGATTTAAAAGATATCATATATTCCTAGCCTATCTACTACTGGCAATTCAAGAATAATGAACTGAATAAAAGAATCTAACAAAAGAGAAGGCTAATCATGCCACAATCTTTTCTACCCCCTTCTCCTCACTGAGCCCTCACAAAAGTCTTTCAAGAGATTGTAACATTGGTCTTACCACTAATATATTTGTTTTCAGTGAGGCACAGAAGATACCCTGATAGGTTGTTCCTCTCACTTGTTCTGATAGGCAGCGGCTAAAGAAACAAACTATTTCTTTAATTCCAAGATGCACTTTATTCCTATATAAACATATCTAAAAATGAGATGCATCTTAGAATCGTAGGTGAAATTTATGTATTTTTGTTGGTGGTGACGGTAATGAAATTAGGCTGAATCTTACAACTTACAGTATATCTTTTCCAAATATCCAAACAAATTTATTAGTAAAGAAAGCTGACTTTCATCAATCAATGTATATATTAGGCTTGGACGGTTTCATTTGTTAATTTCGTAATCCGTTATTAATTCGTATTTAAATTAGCTTACGATCCAATATTGAGCCATGCAGGAATAGTGTGAGGAGTAAATTAGATTCGAAACAATTTTTTCAATTTTGTCAATTATTTCGTAATTATTTTCGCATGTCTGGTGCAAGTTTTATAGTTGTTGTTTGTTTTATCACACCAACAGTCAACAACAGAGGGAGAGGGAAGCTTCAGAAGTTCCCCCTGTCCCATTTGGAGGTTTTTTTTAGCATATTGCGAAATCGCGGCCGCCATTAACGAATCGATTCGTAATTATACAAAATTTTGTACATTTTGAAATTTTTAAAAGGAAAATTTCGGAATTCTTAAAAAAAAAAAAAAAACGCGATGGACCCCTAAAAACGAAGCGAGTTTAGAAACAAATTTTTCTGTTGTTACCCAGGCCTAGTATATATTCTCAAGACGCATCTTTGCACTATTTTCAATGTACGTGTCACTAAAGTGTTCCATATTTTCTTTATTATATTTTTTAAAAAACTCTAATATTATAGAGCAAAATTAAACTTTGTATATGAAGCTCTCATTTTCTGCCTTGTTTTACTTAAGAATGTTGAGCCACAGAAATGCTATCAAAATTTCTTATTCGTCTCAATATACTGCCAAATATACTAATCTCTAATGTTGAGCTCTTTGCTCTTCCCATACAAGTATTTTAACTATAATGTAATGACAGCATCTAACCCTTCTTAGGAATGTACTATAGAAGGGAGACAAGAAATAAAAGATGCTGTACATTTAAACAGAAATGTTTTAGTGTCTCCAAAAGGAAGAAAACTACACCAAGGAAAAAAAGGAAGAAAAATGGAAATACTTACAACCCAACTGAATCTGTATCCCATAAACATTCTGCTCAATGTTCCCTTCTACTAAGATATTGCAAGTCAGAGGAGAAATCAATGTAGAGGTATCGTTGAACGTTACACTAGAAACAGTTTCGTTGATTATATGATACTGTTCTTTAGGGACAATCACATTTTTTGTTTTCCAAAAAATTTGATTAGCATGTACTTTGTTGTAGTATGGACAAGTATCATAGAGAACACAGAATGCTGTAAAATTGGAGCCAATGGGCAGTATTACTGGAGACTCTGGGTAGATATGACCACACATTTGCACAAGTGAATCTGAAAAAGAGAGATCATTATATTCATTTTTAAAGCCAGTACAAATACTATTGTCAAAAGTGAACCACAACAATATAACACAAAAAGCAACAGCTATCTAGAAAGCATGTTAGAAAAATGAAATGAAAGTTACTCACTCTAGTATTACAAAAATTGGCTCTGAAGCCCAAGTAAGTGAACAGAAAGGAAGTTAATATCTTACCCTTCCCACTGCATACATCAATTATCCTGAAAGGCCTACTGAGAAGGTTGGGAAGTCCTTACGGGAGAAACTGAGGTAGGTTTCCTACTTGGGGATGTTACACTAAGCTGATGATAAGGTTAGAAGTAACCACTTGAAGAATTAATATCTCCTCTTGGACTATTTGATAGTCCCAAACTACACTGCTGAAAGTTAGTCCCAGTTGTTAGTTTCATTTCTTACACCCCTTCCTATGACATGTATCATTTCAAAGGTGGTTAGGATCTATCCAAAAGTACCTTCTTTGTATAATATTAGAAGCTGCTCACTTTCTGTAGATTAAGTTCAATAATAATTTTAATGGAAAAGTTTTAACTTAATTGCTCTTGAGGCAGATCAAAATATCTGTGTATAGTGACTTCTGTTCCATTTCTTTGGTAATATTGCTACTTGCGATGACGTGGTGATAGGCATAGTTAAGAATATCCCACCCCTTACTCACAGCTACCTCTGTACTCTTACTTTTTTTAATTCTACCCCAATTCTGTTCATCCCTGCCTTGCATTTTGATTCAGTTTCAGATTTGAAAACCTGGAATATAGGAAAACTGACATATGGGGAATAAATTTTATATATTTAATGCTGTACTTTGGTTCCATCATGTTCTGTGATTACCATAATCTTTGTATGGTCAAGTCATATTACATACAGTGGCATAGTAATATGGTGCACTTAGATAACATGGCAAAATCAAGGTTTGCATTTAGAAATTTTAAAAATATATTTCAAGCTGTGAAGGTTGACTACATATTGTGCCTTTATGTAAAGCGGCTGCATAAAGTGCCTCTATGTCATACCTGATTTGAATGGTAAAGTAAATAGAAGAACTGGGTTGTTGTAGGTTTTTTTGGATTATATGGCCATGTTCTAGAAGCATTGTCTCCTGACGTTTCGCCTGCATCTGTGGCAAGCATCCTCAGAGGTTATGAAGACCTCACAACCTCTGAGGATGCTTGCCACAGATGCAGGCGAAACGCCAGAAGAGAATGCTTCTTGAACATAGCCACACAACCTGAAAAACCTACAACAACCCAGTGATTCCAGCCATGAAAGCTTTTGACAATAAATAGAAGAACATTTTCTGATCCCTGCCTTCTCATTCTAATTTGATATGTTGTATTCCTTCTTTGTTGTATAATGCAGCATTAAATTTTGTCATAATCTGTAAGCCACTCTGAGTTCCCTTTGGGGTTGAGAAGAGCAGCATGTATGTGTGTTTGTGTGTTTATATATATATAATACACACACACACATACATACATACAAACAAACAAACATAGCATCACATATAATTGTAGTAACATAGGTGTTAAAGTAAGGTGAAGGTTTCCCCTGACATAAGTTTAGTCGTGTCTGACTATGGGATGGTGCTCATCTCCCTTTCTAAGTCGAAGAGCTGGCATGACTTCATGGAGCGTTACCTTCCCACAGAAGCGGTACCTATTGATCCACTCACATTTGTATGTTTTTGAACTGCTAGGTTGGCAGAAGCTGGGCCTAACAGCAGGAGCTCACCTTGCTCCCCGGATTCGAACTGCCAACCTTTCAGTCAGCAAGTTCAACAGCTCAGCGGTCTAACCCACTGCGCCACCAGGGGACCCTAGGTGTTAGAGTAGGATCAGAAAATAATAGGGTACAGATAGATACAAACTTTGACCAAAACTATAAACTTTGAAAGGGTTGGGTGAAATGCTGCCTGTTTTAATAACATCACCCCACCCAGGTGCATTCAGTTCTCATCCTCCAATGTGGTTTACAACTTTCTCTGTAAGTAAAGCCCATTTGCATACCACACTGGGCAAACAGGTGCTGCTATCCAAGAGGATAAATCGACACAAATTTGATATTAGAATTAGCAAAACTCAAAAACTAGGAGAACAAAATATTAATCTTCTTGGTCATACTATCAATGAACTTCAACCAGCAATTCAAGAATGAAAAAAATTCAATGGAAGGCTGGAAAGAGGATCAGCTAAATCAGGATATGTTTTCAAACTCCAATCTATCAGAAGATACGACGGAATGATTTCTTGGCACACTACGTAAAACAATACATAATGTTCTCACAACTGCACCTGTAGCAAGAGAACACTTCCAGAAGTTTCCGATTTCAAGGGAAAGGACTCTGGATAAGTAGGCATATTACTTTGCATTTCAATACTGTTTCTAGTATGAAAGGTTTTATTGTTGTTGTTTAGGATCACATTTTGCATCTTTCTTTACCCTTATGATATCCTATGCTCGCTTTTGCTACAGCATAACTGTTATATACCTGATGTGTCAATGTTAACTCCATCAATACATCTGAGGAAGTAGAATGAAATCCATGCTTTTAAAAAATGTGTTCTAAATGTGCTGCTTGATTCCTTCCCACTCATTTCCCTTTAAACAAGTTGCAGCCATTTATTACAAGTATAATTTTCACAGACTTACCTACAAAAGAGGTAAAGAGGAGAGTATACACAACTTGGATTAACCATCTCCGTTTTGAAAACATCTTGAAGTAAATCACTGTAAAAACAAATATTTTATATAGATCATTCTGACAGTGATGAATAAGCTATTACATTTTTCAGTCCAGTCCTGTGCATGAACTGTGCCTTTAATATTTTTAAAAAAATGAAGGCAGATCTTCCAAACACTAAGAATGTCTTATTTTCCAAGAAAATATTTTCTAGGTAGCAGGTTCTGTGGTTTGTTCTGTCTTTATAAGTTGGTTGCAGCATGAATAAAAGGATTTGGGAAGGGAAAATAGGAGTATAAAGATGTAGAATATTATGGGAGAAAATGAGTGTCTTTCTGGATCACATTATTCATAGAAAACAAACTAAAACAGATGAAGCATGCATGATAAATGGCATAAAATATTTCTAAAAACATATTTTGTATACTTAATCTAGAGAAGAAGAGGGAAAGTAGATATAAAATTTGCAGTGAAAACTAGGCTTGTGCATTGATCCGTTTTAAAAAAAAACAAACTCTGACTGGTCTGGAGGCCCATAACGGCATGGGCTCCACTGTCAATTTTTTTTTGGCCGTAAAAGAACAGCACCTGTTGAAACCATGCTGCTTTCAGTTTCTTTGGAGTGCGTGGAAGGAGACAGTCACTAGAAAGGAAAGGATCCCAGAAAAGATAGCAGGATGGGGGGGACGGGACCTTAAGTCCTTACCTTGAACCTGGGTCTTCTATAAAGGGAGAAGGGAAAGAATAACAGAAAGGGGAGACTCTTAAGCTCTTGTCTTAAACTTGAGACCCCCCCCCCCCCCGAGGCCAATGGGCCATATTGAAAACAAATCTTTTGGCTTTCCGGATCAAAAACGGATGTCAGTCCTCCTGAATTCGGAGGGCTCCCGAAAAATTGATCAGGGCCCCACTGAAATTCGGGGCACTGAAACAAATCAAGGTTTACCCGGATTGCACAAACCTAGTGAAAACTTCCCAGAAAACTATCATGGGCTCTCATGCAGTACTAGCAGAGGCTCTGCTCCATACGTCATATAAACATCCAAGTTTCACTCCTTTTGGTCAACAAAAAAAAGCTTAAAAAGGAAATATGGTCTATTTTTTCCTGCTGGATTTCTGTGCCTCCCTGGATTTGTCAGGCAAAGGGTGCAAATCCTCTACCAAGGCAGAGGTTCCCTGCAGTGCACCCTATTGATTAAATCAGAACAGAAACTGCAGCTTATTAAAGATTTACAAAAGTTAGTCCTTGGGAGCTCTTACACAACTCTAAGCTACAACTTGTGTCTATAACAATGTTTAAAAAAGAATAATGTTTTTGGTTTTAATTGTAATTTTGATGCACTGAATATGCTCATGCCAATATGAGAATCAAAACTTCAATATTTGTAATTTGTCTATTTTTTTCAATGAGAAAATACATGGAAAGAAAGGGGGCGCTTCTACTAGGTGGAAACATTAGGCATATAACAGAAGAGCAAGAGTTAATCCTTTTGTTAAGCAAGAGTATTTGATATGAATAACATCAAGGCAGGAATAGGGGGAAGTAGCAACTGTGCTAGCAAAAGGATTTTGTAGACAAGAAACAGAATGAGATAGAAGCTGTTTTTAGGAATCAAATTTACTACTTACTTACTACTGTTTCTCTGTAAAACAAGAAATTATAGAATAAAAAAGATCATAAAGGCCATCCAGTGTAACTCCTGCCATGCAGGAAAATACTCAAAGTACTCCTGACAGATGGCAATCCAGCCTGTTTATAAATCTCCAAATATAAGAGACTCCACCACACTTAGAGGTAGTATATTCACGGTCAACCTGCTCTTAGGAGCCCCACTGGTGCAATGGGTTAAGCCCTTGTGCTGACAGGACTGCTGACTGAAAGGTTAGCAGTTTGAATCCAAGGAGCGGGGTGAGTTCCCATTTGTCAACACCAGCTTTCCATGCGGGGACATGAGAGAAGCTTCCCACAGGACGGTACAATATCTGGGCATTCCTTGGGCAACGTTCTTGCAGACAGACAGCCAATTCTCTCACACCAAAAGTTTCTCAAGTTGCTCCTGACACGAAAAAATAACCAAACAAATGTGCTCTTACCATGATAAAATTATTTCTCATGTTTAGGTTGAATCTTTTTTCCTGTAGTTTAAATTCACTGCCCCATGTTCTAGGCTCGGGAGCAGCAGAAAAACAAACTGACTTCATCTTCAAGATGAGCTTATTTTACATATTTAACATGGATATCATGTTATTCACATTTTCTTCTCCAAGATGAATATTCTCAGCTCCCTAAGCCATTTCTCATAAGGGCATGCTTTCTAGATTTTTGAAAATTTTGGTTACCCTTTTGGACACATTGCAGTTTGTCAATATCCTTCTGGAATTGAAGTGCCCACAGATGAACACAGTGTTATTCCATGTGAGAGGTCTGACCAAAGCAAAACAGAGTGATACTATAATTTCACTCAATCTAGACAGCATAGTCCTATAAATGCAACCCAGAATTGCATTGGCTTTTTTTGGGTGCTGTATCACCATCATACTGTTGACTCGCACCCAAGTTGCTGTCTAATAAAACTCCTAGATCCTTTTCATAGTTAAGCCAAGACTCTCATTCTATATCCGTGCATTTCATTTTTTTCTGCCTGAGTGCATTTCCTTACATTTCTCCATATTGAAATTCGTTTCATTAATTTTGGCCCAACTTTCCAATCAGTCATTTGAATTTTGATTTGGTCTCCTGGGATATTAGCTACCACTCATAATTTGCTGCCGTCTACAATTTGATATACATGCCTTCTATCCTGCCATCCAAGCCATTTATAAAAATGTTACATAGCACTAGGCTGAAGATGAAACTCTGTGGTCATTTATTTCCAGGTTGCAGTATAGCTACCAGTCAATCAATTTCAAATTTCAAATCTACATAATAAGAGCACTGTCTAGCCCAGGGGTCCTCAAACTTTTTAAACAGAGGGCCAGGTCACAGTCCCTAAAACTGTTGGAGGGCTGAATTATAATGTGAAAATAACATGAATGAATTCCTATGCGTACTGCACATATCTTATTTGTGGTGCAAAAACCACTTAAAACAATACAATAATTAAAATGAAGAACAACTGTAACAAATATAAACTTATTAGTATTTCAATGGGAAGTGTGGGCCTGCTTTTAGCTGATGAGATAGGATTGTTGTTGTTCTTGTGTGCTTTCAAGTCATTTCAGACTTAGGTTGACCCTGAGTGAGGGCCGGGTAAATGACCTTGGAGGGTCGTATCCGGCCCCCAGGCCTTAGTTTGAGGACCCCTGGTCTAGCCCATATTTTAACAGGTTGTTTGCAAGAATATCACTGGGGAACTGGCCAAAGAACTTAATGAAATCAAGGTATGCTAATTTACCAGCCCTGTGATTTACAGGACAGTAGCATTAGGAACAATGCACATAGCCTCGAGATTCAAACCTTATCTGCATTTTTTCTGTGAAATCAGTCTGCCTGTAGAAACAGCAATCACTTGTGGGTGAGATTTCGGGACGTTTTTGTTCTCTCGTCCCACTAAATTTTGTACCATGTAGCCTGGTGAGGAATTTCGGAGGTCTCAAAAGCTTACCAGACATGTGGCAATTTAATAACCCTAAAAAAATTATTAGATAACTCTAAGTTTAGCTCCTACTCATGGATTACATACTCATTTTTTTTGCGTTCTTCATTTGGTAACTGATACTTTTCCTAGCAGAAGAACTGGCAAAGTAAGAGCATTTTGAAGGCCTTTAAGTCATGCTTATTTAGATTGGCTTTCATTTGTGCCTAAAGCTGGAGGAATTCCATATTTTACTATGCTTTTAATTTTGTTTTTACTCATGCTGGAAAGAGCAACCAGTCAAGTCCATTTGAGCAAATACAACTGCCAAAACTTTGTACAAGAAAAGTAGAAATCCTAGGTACTGACCAGGAAGAAAGCCTCATTTATTATTATTCAACTTATTATTATTCTAGACTACACATCTCTAGTTAATAGTAAATTTGCTTCAAGTTGAATTATGCAAGACAGCTATAAGAAATATGAGTACTGATAACCTCAATATCTAGATAAACTGAGACAATAGATGATACCACTTCTCATATACTTTCTCTAACTTCTCTTGATGGTAGTATATTATTCACTGAACAGCTCAAGCTCTTAACAGCTCAAGTCCAAAATATCTGGAGGAGCACAGTTTGAGAAACTCTGTCCTAAAGTACTAGTTTCTGTCTGATCTTGGAATCTGATTAGTCCTTGGTTGGATGCTGTGGGTTTCACAGGAAGGAACTGAAAAAAATCACCTCTGATTCCTTGCCTAAGAAAACCAAATGAAAATCATGGTTTTGCCATAAATCAGTAGGCAACTTGAAGGCACATACCAGTATATACACTGAGCAGATCCAATCATAAGATAGTATAAGAAAAATAATACATTAAACTTCATATCTTACTAATGATAAAGTGTATTTCAGTTACATCACTTGTGACTATATGTGAAGGTCTACTGAACTGAATAGATATGGTTCTTCAAGCAAATCTCCTCCCCTTAACACAGAATGGAAAATAAAGTTGGCCTCCCATTTTCCTAGGTTTTGTTTTTACAAATCTGATTGTTTGTTGCTGCACCTTCTGCTACCCTATGCCATTTTAAAATGGACTGCAAGTCTTATGAGACCGCATGATAGGACCTGTAAATCCCTATGAAAAGTGGTATGTCGTAGCAGCAGAGGCAGTTGGTGGAGGGAGCAGAGAAAAGCATGGAGAAATTGGGGAATGCATCAATAAGGGTTATCCAGACTGACTGAAAAATCCCAGATTTTGTTCCCATCCTTTTATTGGGTTAGAATAAACTAACTTCGGGAACCAGTAATAAAGCCTCTGATTGTACTAGGAGCAGACAGAAAGTATTCTGGGAGAGAGGGAAAATGGTATGGCACTATAAGAAAAAAAATGGAGAGAAAAGGGATCAAAACCTGGGACTTATTGACCTTTTTAATCAGTCTGAGAAATTAGCTTAGCTCTGCTTTAGTCCCGGTCTGACAAAATGATTTCTTCCACACACTTTGGCCTTTATATTGCATGTTATCATTTTTATTCAGACTTAGTAAATGTTACTGCTATTCGATTCAACTGTGGACACAAGACATGAGTGGCTATGGGATGAGTATCCCCAATTTCACACATTAAAAGAACATGCAGAAAAAGAACAGGGAAATCCCACCCTGATTCTAGCTTCCATACTTACAACTAAACAAGTGGTTTTAAAACATGACTTTAAAAGACAACAAATCAAGCTCATCAGACTCAGGTTAACTCAATGGTGGGGGCTAAGATACTGTTTTAACAGCTTAAAAAATTTCAAATGCTTAATAAACAAGGTGCTCACCCTCAAAAAAAGTACACACCCTGAACAGCTTATAGTTCTGAAAGGCTTTTTGCCACTCTATCCCAAATGTATACACCCTTTACAGGATTCAAGAATTCAATAGTAGAGGAGCATATGAAATTACAGGAGAAAACTGTGAGTTTTGCAATGCAACCAGGATGAGCATTGAATACCTAAAATTTTGCTTAAAAGGAAATTTGATTTCATTTGTTTTATGTCATTTAATTCCTCCTCAAAATGACATAAAAGAGTAAGTCAAGATGGATCTTGTAACTCTGATGAAATCATTATAACCACATTTATTCTACAATATAAATGTATTTAATTGGACTTCAAATAATCACCATGGCTACTTTTAGTTATTAAATTGTGTAAGTATTTTTGAGACATCATAAAACTACAACTCTCATAATTCCCTAGTATTGAGCCTTGGTAGTTAAAGTGGTGTCTGGTCTGGCTTCTTCCTGCCTGGGAGAACCCTTTGTTGGGAGGTGATTAGCTGGCCTGGATTGTTTTTTGTCTGGAATTCCCATTTTAGAGTATTGTTCTTTATTTACTGTTATGATTTTAGAGTTTTTTATACTGGTAGCCAGATTTTGTTCATTTTCATGGCTTCCCTGTGTAGTCTGACATGGTAGTTGTTAGAGTGGGTGTCCAGCATTTCTGTGTTATCAAATAATACGATGTCCGGGCAGTAAGAAGCCAGATCTTGAAACTGCTAGGCCATTAAATGCTAATCAAAGTGGCCAATTGCAACATTTACATTTGCCTCAAGCAGACAAAAGTTTTTTCTTCCACCCTGGACATTCCAGATATAAAAACCCCATTTTCCTAGTTTCCAACAAACTTCAAAACCTCTGAGGATGCCTGCCATAGATGCAGGCAAAACCTTAGGAGAGAATGCTTCTGGAACATGGCCATACAGCCCAGAAAATTCACAACCCACTTCCTATTTGGTTAAAAAAAAAACAGTCCTGAGGAAAATTAGAGACATATGAAATGCTTCAACAGGGTTTCAAAGGCCGTCATGAGGAAAATTTGAGAAATATGAGACTTAGGGGCCCTTCCGCACAGAAGGGTATCCCAGGATATCAATGCAGAAAATCCCACAATATCTGCTTTGAACTGGTTATCTGAGTCCATACTGCCATATATTCCAGTTCAAAGTATTTATTTATTTGCAACATTTATATGCCACCCTTCTCACCCCAAAGGGGACTCAGAGCAGCTTACTATATATGTAGCTGTCCCCTGCCATGCATTGCTGTGGCCCAGTCTGGTGATCTGGAAAATAAAGTAATGAGAAAGTGTTGGTTTCTAATCTATGTAATTTCTTTATGCTTGTGGGTAAACAGTATTTCTTGTTGTTTCTTTGTCAGTGTTGATGTGGAGAGTGTCTGGTTTGCCTACTCTGGAATATGCAACATATCATTGTCCTTCTTTAGGGGTCCCTTTCAAAACTAGGATACTATATCTGTCCTATACATGTGTGTGTGTGTGTGTGTTAATCTTATATCTATCTATATCTATGGATGGATGGCTCTTTGTCAGGAAGGCTCTGATTATGTTTTCTTCCCTGGTGAAGGGAGTTGGACCGGATGGCCTTAAAGGCAGCATTTCTCAACCTGGGGGTCGGGACCCCTGGGAGGGGGTCATGAGGGGGTATCAAAGGGGCGCAAACAATCACCAGAAAACATAGTCTTTTCTGTTGGTCATGGGGGTTCTGTGTGGGACATTTGGCCCAATTCTATCCTTGGTGGGGTTCAGAATGCTCTTTGATTGTAGGTGAACTATAAATCCCAGAAACTACAACTCCAAAATATTTCCCCCAAACTCCATCTGTGTTCATATTTGGGCATACTGAGTATTCATGCCAAGTTTGACTCCACAGTTCTCTGGATGTAGTTGAACTACAACTCCCTAACTCAAGGACAATGCCCACCAAACCCTTCCAGTGTTTTCTGTTGGTCATGGGAGTCCTGTGTCCCAAGATTGGTTCAATTTCATCATTGGTGGAGTTCAGAATGCTCTTAGATTGTAGGTTAACTATAAATCCCAGCAACGACAACTCCCAATGACAAAATCAAAAATTTTTGAGTGAAGGACATACATTGGGTTGTTAGGTATATGCTGTCCAAATTTCGTGTCAATTGGCCCATTGGTTTTTGAGTTCTGCTAATCCCACAAACGAACATTACATTTTTATTTATATAGATATATATATCCACACACACACATGCATACAATACATTATACCATGCATACAATACATTATACAATACATTATACCATTAGTACAATATCAGCGCTATACCTCACTATACTGTTCTATACAATTATACTGTAATATTATTAGTAATATTACATGTAATATAAAATATATAATTATACTATCATATTATTAGTAGTAGTATCATACTGTATTACATTACAATATTATAAATATTATATGTATATGCAATATATTATATTGTATATTAGAATATAAGTATATAGATACAGTAGTTATCTTAGGGCAGTTAGATGCCATTTAAGGTGCCATTTAAGGTGCCAAAGTAGATAATGTGGAATTTCCTGCCTTGATGTTCTGGGTTATATGACTGTGTGGAAGGGCCCTGAGTCCACACTAACATATCTCCCAGTTCAATGCAGAAAATGTGGGATATTATTCAAATTGCCTAGTTTGTAGAACGAATGCAGAACTTCCTCACTGTGAGAGCTGTTCAGCAGTGGAACTCTCTGCCCCGGGATGTGGTGGAGGCTCCTTCTTTGGAGGCGTGGGAGGGGCCTGAAATACTTCAAGAGGGTTTTGAAAAAGCCGTCCTGAGGTAAGTCTGGCTTTTCGGGAGGGAGGGGAGGCCTTAACGGGCTTTAAAGGCCTAACGGAAGGCTTCAGCCTAAGCCAAAAGTGAGAAGCGACTGCTCCTGAGGGGAGCAATGCCCAACTTCTCTCTCCTTCGGGCCCTCCGCTTCCCGAAAAGGAGAGGCAACAACGCCGCCCGCCCACGAAGCCCGGCACGCTTGGCCTTCGCCTCACCTCGTCTCCCTTCGGCCTAATTCCGCGCTGCTCCGCCGCTTCCGTCCCCTCAGGCCGCGCTCTGCCGATAACTAACATCGACGCCGCCGCTTTGAGTGACAGCTCCATCCGCGAGACCCAGCCGCCCCCAAAGCGGCGACGCCATTGGCGGGCCCTGCGGTGACGTCACTGCCCCTGGGCGGGGCTTCCCGTAAAGCGCCTGCCGCGGCTGCCAGGATGTCGGACTGCTGGTCCCAACAGGGAAGGAGGGAGGGAGTCCGAGAAACGACTTGGCCCAGGCCTGCTCTAGGCCTTTAAGGGCATTTAGACTTCAACTCCCAGAATCCTCAGCTGCTGTGGACAATGAGCAGGGATTCTGGGAGATGAAGTCCAAAAGTTGCCTAGTTTGTAGAATGAATGCTAAACTTGGGTTGTTGTAGGTTTTTCCGGGCTATATGGCCATGTTCTGGAGGCAATTTTTCTCCTGACGTTTCGCCTGCATCTATGGCAAGCATCCTCAGAGGTAGTGAGGTCTGTTGGAAGTAGGAAAAATGGGTTTATATATCTGTGGAATGACCAGGGTGAGACAAAGGACTTTTTTCTGCTGGGGCTAGCTGTGAATGTTTCAGCTGATCACCTTGATTTGCATTCAATGGCTTGGAAGCGCCCAGGGGGAATCTTTTGTTGAGAGTGATTTTATGTGCCTGTTTGTTGCTAAACTTCCCGACTGTGAGAGCTTAATAATTTGTCGTGTCAGAGCAACCAGTCCATTATATTACATTTCTAACAGAACTTGTGAATTTGGTAGTTGGTTAACCCCCGGTGGTGCAGTGGGTTAAAGCACTGAGCTGCTGAGCTTGTTGATCGAAAGGTCGCAGGTTCGATCCCGGGGAGCGGTGTGAGCTTCCGCTGTCAGCCCTAGCTTCTGCCAACCTAGCAGTTCGAAAACATGCAAATGTGAGTAGATCAATAGGTACCGCTCCGGCAGGAAGGTAACGGCGCTCCATGCAGTCATTCCGGCCACATGACCTTGGAGGTGTCTACGGACAACGCTGGCTCTTCGGCTTAGAAATGGAGATGAGCACCACACCCCAGAGTCAGACATGACTGTACTTAATGTCAGGGGACTACCTTTACCTTTTACACCATGCTGTTAAGTCTATGAGATGCAAAAAATTAAGAGTCCCTCCAGAACTGCAAGCACTATCTCAGGCAAATATTGACAATTTATTCACACTGTCATTACTTGCAGCAATAGCCGATGTAGTGAAGCAACCAAGTTGGGTGTGTGTGTGTTGAATGCTCTCATTAAGGAGGCCAGACTTGGTGGAGGTGGTTGACAGGGGCGGAGCTGCAGGCTATGGAAGGTTGCTCTGCCCCCTGCTGTGCTCTTTGCTTCAGCGTGAGCTAGGAGGCAGGTTTCAACCCCACCCACCCCCCAATTTTCAACCCTCCCCGAAATTTTCACCCCCCCCCAAAAATTGTCAACCCTCCCCGAAATTTTTTTCTGGCTACGGCCCTGCATGATGGCAACAGTCTTGGACAGCAATGGCTCCCAAAGTGACCCATTTAAGGTGGAATCTGGTGTCAAACAGGGATGTGTTATTGCCCAACTTTATTCTCCATCTTCATCGCTATGATACTTCACCTTGTTGATGGGAAGCTTCCCACCGGAGTGGAAATCATCTATCGGACAGATGGCAAGCTATTCAACCTCAGCAGACTGAAAGCCAAAACCAAGGTTACAACAACATCTGTTATAGAACTCCAGTATGCTGATGACAATGTCGTCTGTGCGCATTCAGAAGAAAGATCTACATTTTTATTTATTGTGTCATCCGCAACCAGAACATTGTATTACATTTCTAACAGAACAAAACAAACAAACAGATTTAAAAAAAAACACAAATTTTGCAAACTTGGTAGCTGATTAAATGTCCTTTGACCAGTATCTGGCCACTTGGAGTGCCTCTGGTGTTGTCGCAAGAAGGTCCTCCATTGTGCATGTGGCAGGGCTCAGGTTACATTGCAGCAGGTGGTCAGTGGTTTGCTCTTCTCCACACTCGCATGTCGAGGATTCCACTTTGTAGCCCCATTTCTGAAGGTTGGCTCTGCATCTCGTGGTGCCAGAGCGCAGTCTGTTCAGCGCCTTCCAAGTCGCCCAGTCTTCTGTGTGCCCAGGGGGGAGTCTCTCATTTGGTATCAGCCATTGGTTGAGGTTCTGGGTTTGAGCCTGCCACTTTTGGACTCTCGCTTGCTGAGGTGTTCCAGCGAGTGTTCTCTGTAGATCTTAGGAAACTATTTCTTGATTTAAGTCGTTGACGTGCTGGCTGATACCCAAACAGGGGATGAGCTGGAGATGTCTCGGCCTTGGTCCTTTCACTATTGGCTGCTACTTCCCGGCGGATGTCAGGTGGTGCAATACCGGCTAAGCAGTGTAATTTCTCCAGTGGTGTAGGGTGCAGGCAGTCCGTGATAATGCGGCATGTCTCATTAAGAGCCACATCCACTGTTTTAGTGTGGTGAGATGTGTTCCACACTGGGCATGCATACTCAGCAGCAGAGTAGCACAGCGCAAGGGCAGATGTCTTCACTGTATCTGGTTGTGATCCCCAGGTTGTGCCAGTCAGCTTTCGTATGATATTGTTTCTGGCACCCACTTTTTGTTTGATGTTCAGGCAGTGCTTCTGTGAGAGCTGTTCAGCAGTGGAACTCTTTGCCCCGGGGTGTGGTGGAGGCTCCTTCTTTGGAGGCTTTAAAGCAAAGGCTAGATGGCCATCTGTGCCAAAAAATCGGGTGCCCTAACAAATTTGTGAACATCCTGCGGCTCCTCCATGATGACATGATGGCAACAGTCTTGGACAGCAATGGCTCCCAAAGTGACCCATTTAATGTGGAATCCGGTGTCAAATAGGGATGTGTTATTGCCCCAACTTTATTTTCCATCTTCATCGCTATGATACTTCATCTTGTTGACGGGAAGCTTCCCATCGGAGTGGAAATCACCTATCGGACAGATGGCAAACTGTTTAACCTCAGCAGACTGAAAGCCAAAACCAAAGTCTCAACAACATCTGTTACAGAACTCTAGTATGCTGACGACAATGTCGTCTGTACGCATTCAGAAGGAGACCTACAAGCCACTCTAAACACCTTCGCAGAAGCATATGAGAAGCTTGGCCTGTCATTGAACATTGAGAAAACCAAAGTCCCTTCCAGCAGTCACCAGCCAATCCCTCTTCAATGCCAGAGATACAGCTTAACATACAGTGTAACATTAGAAAATGTTGACCATTTCCGCTCCCTTGGCTGCCACCTCTCCACCAAAGTCAACATTGACACCGAAATACAACACCGCCTGAGCTCTGGAAGTGCAGCATTTTTCCGAATGAAGCAATAGCTTGGTTAGAAAGCTATTGTCCTCCCAACCCTGCTATATGCCTGCGAGACGTGGACTGTCTACAGATGTCGCATGCAACTCCTGGAACAATTCCATCAATGCTGCATCCAGAAAATCCTGCAACTCTCTTGGGAATACAAGCAGACAAATGTCAGCGTGCTGGAAGAAGCAAAGACCACCAGCATTGAAGCGATGGTCCTCCACCATCAACTCCGCTGGACCGGCCATATTGTCCGTATGCCTGACCACAGACCACCTACTGCAAACCACAGACCACCTACTGTAATGCAACCTGAATCCTGCTACATGCACAATGGAGAACCTTATTTATTTATTTATTTATTTACTTTGCTTATATACCGCTGTATCTCAAGCCCAAAGGCGACTCACAGCGGTTCACAAACAGTAGAAACAGTAGAAACAGCAGTGGTTCCATACAACATATAACAATTGACTTAACACATTATCCATAAATTACCAATAAGCAATTACAATGCACAATTATTACAAAAAACAACCGTACCCAATCTTCTCATCATCCAAGCGTAGTCCAGATTCGTCGTCCATTACCTTCTGATAGCAACACCAGAAGCATCCCAGTTGGCCAGCTACTGGTCAAAGGACATTTAGTATAATGGCAAGTTTTTTAAACTTTGTGTTTTTAAAAACATTACAACTGTACCCTTGGTTCACTTCAGATATGATAAAAATAATAAACATTGTTTGCCGCTTTGAATTCTCAATGGGAGAAAAGTGGGATATAAATAAATAAATAGTAGCCTAACAGCTGTTAGGAATTGTGGGAGTTGAAGTCCAAAACACCTGGAGGGGTGAAGGTTGCCCATGCCTGGTATACTTAAATAGTAAAAATATAATTTTTTATATAATATAATTTTAGTGTGGTGTTTAATGGGTTGTAACGTTCCATTATTGTGTGATGTCCATGTTTTAATGAGTTATTGTTCAACTTGGTAGTTGTATTTACTATTGGTTGCACTGTATGGCATTGAATACTTGTCTCTGTATGTTAACTTCCCTGTTAACAACATACAGAGAAATGGGGCTACAAAGTGGGATCCACAACATGCGAGTGTGGAGAAGAGCAAACCACTGACCACCTGCTGCAATGCAACCTGAGCCCTGCTACATGCACAATGGAGAACCTCCTTGCAGCAACACCAGAGGCACTCCAAGTAGCCAGCTACTGGTCAAAGGACATTTAATCAACTACCAAGCTTGCAAACTCTGTTTTGTCTGTTTGTTAAAAAATTGTTAAAAATGTAATACAATTGTGTGGTTGCTACTGACACGATAAATAAATAAAATAATAAACTTCCCTGTGTCCTCATTGGGGAGATAGGGTGATATATAAATAAAGATTATTATTATTATTATTATTATTATTATTATTATTATTATCACAACAAGATGATTATTATGAACACAACAAGAAGCCCTCTGCCTCCTGATTTTCTGGGCAGGTAAAGTCTGTCAACATCACTACGTGGGAGTAATGCATAGTGGATTGTCATCAGTTTTCTTGTTTTTCTGTCCAGATCATCCAGCTCTGATTGTGCCCAGTTCACAATTCCAGCAGTGTATTTAATGATGGGGATGGCCCAAGTGTTGATAGCCTTGATCGTATTTCCGTCATTTAATTTGCTCTTCAAAACCTTTCAGACTCTTTGGATATATTCTTTGCTGACCACATTTTTCACTTGCCCATGCTTGATATTGTCCAACTGTAGTATGCCCAGATA